TTTTTTAAGTGTAATAAATTAAGTTGTGCAAAACTTAAACCCAGTAAACAGTGCGTTACTGTACCTGACTCCGCTAACACGGAGAGTCGAATCCAGGACATCTCCTTCCAACCCCTTTGAAGCGAGGCCCTAAACGTCCCTGAGGAAAGAATCCATGACTCTACCCGAAAGCTTTAAAACATTCAATGATAACACCTCTTATCAACTAGCCCAATAAACCCTGAGATATTCCATTCGCGGAGGCGTTATCAAGAAGGACGTAGCCGCCAACCAGACTACCAGATCTACAGCGCACTTCTAGATAGTCTCCGATCCAGGTCAGTGTACTCCACCTAGATACGCGTGTGCGGTTAAAATACCTTAACTCGTGCTGTGAAAATGTGTTCAGCAGTGTAACAAGCCTTTCACAGACTCAGAATAACTTTCCTTTCTTATAAAGTACTGCATCGTTTTGTCACAAAACATGGCTTCAAAAAGTAAATGTTGTGATGTTAATGTAAGAAGAGTTACAAAAGTAATAATTCTTTACATAAAATTGACAAGATGGATAAACTAAATAAAACTTTAGCACCTTCATATCATGTAAGCACTTTAATAGCAATGAATTTTATCAGAACTATTAAATGAAGTCAGGCAAATGCTTTTATTATTTCATGTCACATTGATATCCAATGCCTTTGTACATTTTTCATACAGAATATGCCCACATGTATAGTATCTCATCATATAAAAAAAGAATGTGTATATCAAATAACCTTTAAGTCACTGTGACATCCAGTGGCATGACCTTTGAATTATTTTCATCAAATTGGCTATTTGTTCATAAAGTAACTAAGAAAACATGCAGACATCACACACCCCTACAAGGTCTTCGCAGGCTACCAACTGTAGAACACTTAGTCAATGTGTGTTTACATTGTAACTGTAGAAGTATTAGATTTTCTACAACTGTCAGTAGCTCAACTGGTACATATATATGAACCCCACAAGCCCTGAAAGGGAAACAACAGTGATGAAACTTAAATGCAGGGCAAAATCACAACATAGAAATGGACAGCAGATCCCCTAAAAATGTGGCAAGTTCAAATACGTAAGAATAACAACAAATAAAAATTATATGCGCGAGGAAATTAAGAACAATGGAATTCTGATAATGCTTTCTACTATTCAGTTCAGAACCTTTGTCTTCTTCCTTACTCTATAAAAATATAAAGATTAAAACATACAAAACAATAGTTGTGCTTGTAGTTTTGTATGGCTGTGAAACTTGGTCTCTGACATTAAGGAAGAAACATAGCCTGAGAGCATTTGAGGGCAGGGTGCCAGGGAAAATAAATGGATTGAAGGCAGATGAAATAATAGGTGGTTAAAGAAAACTGCACAATAAGGAGCATTCCATAACTTGTACTCTTTGCAAGTATAATTAGAATGGTCAAGTTGAGGAGTATGAGATGGGCAGGGCATGTAGCACAAATGGAGAGAATAGGAATTCATATAAGATTTTGGTGGGGAAGTCAGAAGGAAAGAGACCACTAAGAAGACCTAGATGTCAGTAGGAGGATATTATTAATATGGATCTTAGATAAGATGGGATGGTATGGACTGGATTCATCTAGCTTAGATCAGGGACCAATGGTAGGGTCTTGTTAAAATGGTAATGAATATTCAGGTTCCACACATTGTTGGGAAATTCTTGAGTAGCTGAGCAACATGTGGCTTCTCAAGGACTCAGCTCCATATAGTTAGTTCGTTAGACAGATTTATTTATCATATTACAAGAAGAAAACACAAATGCTGTGACTGTAGTGACTGTGAAGAAATTAGTTAATTTTTTTCAGTCAAATTTCAGACCTGTCCAATCATGAAATGTTAACTCAAGTGAAGCAACAAAGGACATGGTAAAAAACTGATTCCTCTGACTGACTGATAGAACGCTGTCTAAACAAAGCTATTCAAAATCTCAGTGGAGTGCATCTATGTCCTGTTCTAATAGTCAATTGCAGTAAGTAAGGTAAAGGTAAAATTATCCCTGCAACAAGCCATGGAGACCCATAGAGTTGTGAGAAGTTGAGGCTCCCATATCTTCTTGACAATCAGCTCACAGATCGTGGTGAGGTTGTCAGCCTTACACGCTGGCCACACGTTAGTCCCAGGAAGCTTCCTGGTACTCGTTTCTGTTGAAGGCTGAGTCAACGCCAGGGTCATAGTACGGCTGGAAGGATTAGATCAATTGAAAAAAAAAAAAAGGAACAGCATTGGGAAATGAACCCGCGACCTTCCGGCTTGTAGCATAGTGCCTCAACCAACTATGCTACCGTGTTCCCCAGCTACAATTAGTTAACACATAAAATTCTTGCAGCCAAAGGCAATGTCAATTTAGCAGATTTGAAGTTTGATTCTTGTGTAACGATACACAGCGCAAATAATCACAAAAGAAAAATGTTGGAATAATTTTTATACAAAATGCTGGTCTAACTGCTTGAAGAGAAGTCTACTCTCTTAGTTATGACCCACTTTCTTATATTATATCATGGGCAAACTACCATGGAACCACTAATCAAATCATGTTACCTCATGTACCTTCTGCAGCTTACATGACATGTCAATACAACCTATTTCAATAACACACTACAGGAAATTTAAATTAAAAATAATTCCTATTATATTGTGTAACAGATTCTAAAATTAAAATCAACGAACAGGACAGTTATATTTTCTGTTTTGTTTTCGGTGCTCTTTCTGTTTTTAAACAAACATCAGCAGGAACATACTGTGCCTTGGTATATTCTTATAGGAGAACATTAAGATGGTGGACCATCACCCACTCACGCATATTATTAAGTGCCACTCCCAGATTTAATTCTCAGTTAAATCTAATACAGGCCAGTTCCACACTGCTGTCATCTTAATCACTGTCACCAACACCAAACTGTCAAGATTTGCTGACTCACTGCAGTCACAACTGTCTAATAAGTGTTTCAATAGTTAACCATGGGTTTCTTGTCCTTGGTCATAATTGGGGGAATCTCTCTCTACATATTCTGTCAATGTGAAGTAATTTCTTCAGTCTCAGTTAGCTGATCTACAATCTTATCTTGCTTAGTCCTAGTGCAATACCTCTAGATTTGGATACAGACTATGATTTTACATTTCATTTTCATTTATTCACCTTCCATAAATCCTGTCGAGAGTACATCATCATGCGGATGCGGAGATCGTCCTTGTTACAAGCACAACTAAAGATTGCAGTTGTCATCCAAGAGCATGCACATTTGTATAAAACACTTATAAACATGTACAATATAATAAATAAGTTAATTTTAGTAGTAAAAGTAATGGCAAACCTTATACAATTTGTACAGTTTTATGCAAGTCTATTAATTAAAAATTCATTAATTAAAACATAATATCATTAATGAGTCTTGTATAACATACATCAGTTATACGATAAATTGAAACAAAGACTAGAATAGAGTAATATAAAAATTGTGTATATCTAAAATAAGCATCTAAAAACCAGAACACAGACTGACAACCTTGTCTTCCTTTAATTGTAAAGCAAGACAACTACTCGCACCTTAAAAAGATTTTTAACCAAAATATTCCTGTAAAGAATAAAAAGAATGTAAATATAAAAATTGTTTTAACTGTACCTCAAAACTCTTAGTGTCACTCGATATATCCTTAATATATTGTGGTAGATTATTATAGACCTTTGTTCCTAAACAGTAAACTCCCTTTTGGTATTTACTCAAATTTACAAGAGGCTGATGTAGATTATTTTGCTGTCTGGTATTTATTCTATGAATCTCTGAATTTACTATGAATTTGTTTCTATTTTTTATCACAAAGAGCATAAGAGATAGGATGTACTGAGATGCCAGTGGTAAAATTTCTAATTCTCTAAATAAGTTCCTGCACGAATCCCTCCTTCTGCATCCCAACATAATTCAGACGTACATCTTACAGTTTTAACAAGCCTCACCACATAGATATTACTAAATTCTTACATGTTTGGAACGTATGAAGGATCATATTAAGTCTTGCGGCTGTAAATAAATTTCAAAGACGGTGACATACATACATACATACATGCTGCACTGTAACGTTATCCATGAGAATCATTCATAATTCATGATCGCAGACTTCATAACTGGAACGTGGAAAAAACTACGTACTTCCAATTTTACTTGACGGCTTATCTATTATGTAAAAGGGTTTAATGTAAGAATGTTATATCCTTCACTTCGGTTATGACGCTAAAGACCTAATTACTAATATGAATGCATATAAACTGTAAGATACGGTTACCGGTTCGAAATGGCATGGTTTATCTGCTTTATATCACAAATACCACAAACAGGATAACTACTATATTACAGTTCAAACTACTTCCTGAATAAATTCAAACAAAACATGAGTCACTAACACCAGTTTTCTTATGTGTGCCGCACTTCCACATTCCTTTTCGCAACACTGTATTTACAGCCAAATGGAGTGCAATATCGTTCGCTGTGACTTACCTTCACTAAATCCGATACAACTGTCATGATGTGATTATTACTTCCAACTTTTTTTGGGTTTCCGCAAGTTTCGTTGCAAGTTTATCTCGTCTCCATTTCATCCACTTAATTCTCCATTCTTTAGCTTTATAACCCAACATAAATCCAGCGACGAAGGTTAGAATTATGGTTGCCTTCACGGTGACCGAGGATAGTTCTGTCATACTATTAACTGCTTTTCAGGGGTAATACAGTACCGTAAACATTTATTTACATTACACTTCCGCAAATCTTCAACAATATACAGGTAGAGTAACTATACTATACCATACTGTAACAGATTACATTTACATTAGACGCGTTCTCATCGAAGTCATCGATCCTTCCTTACGATTCCAATGATTCCAATCACCTTCCCAACAGTTTAGCCACCATGTGCACACAGATATTTGTCTCTTTTGTTAAATATATATATAAATATAAAAACCAATCCTATTGGAAGGCTACGTAGAGACACTGGGCACGTACTTGTCTTAATTCATAAACTTTATGTTTACATATATGTTAAACGAACATATGTACCGATGTGTACGTTCTGTACTTTAGCTGTACTACACATACAACTATGTATCACAGTGAAAGTCTACTCTACTAGCGACATCTAAATTCCGGGTCCCCGGAATTACTTATACACGTGCATGTCATTCAAATGATTGATGAGACCGTCAACATTCCTGTTGACTTCGCTCAATTGAACAAATCACTTTTGTATTTGTGGTAAACGTCAACTAAACATTACGCCATACAGGCACTGCAAATAGCTGTCTATAAAAACGTTAAATACTATCCACCTTACACCATTTGCTCTTGAACTTATTCACAACCACAGCAATGAATAATTTTGCGATCCTTCTTGTAGGGCAGAGTAATTTACACCGTCTTTGGATACCTATATTCATCCATATAAATGCTGCTCACAAATTACACTTCAAAGCTACATAAAATATTGGGTTTCAGTTACTTCAATGTATTATAAACAATACCTCAAAACGCTTGTTAATTAACAATCTTTCACAGCTTACCTCACTAATTAGAAGTAAAAACATACACAGCAATACATTTTACCAACACATCCAAAAGTCCCATCACCAAAGTATTATAAATCCTGCATAAGCAACCATAATGAAACGTCCATAGTCACAGCACACATACGAGTATATTATTACACAAGAAAATAAACTGTTGATAAACCAGAAAATAGCAATGCTTCAAACTACATAATGAGAAAAATGCTTGAAGTATTTAAAAGTAATCTGAGGACATGAAGTACCCTACAACAACACCCCCCCCCACCCCTTAAAAAAGTTGCACAAAGAGTTTTACAACAGTGAAAATTTATGTTAAATATAGACTATATTTTTTAATAAAACCTCACAACTCTTACAAAATACATATACTACACATATGGCTGCTGCAACACGAAAGCAAAATATTTGCACCAAGTCCATCACACTTCTCAAACAAATGATAAAGATCCATCACTGATGTACTACTATAAATGGCAAATAACATGCAAAATATCAGCAAATATCAGGATATTAGTGTTTCACACCAAGTAATGACTAGGGCCAAATATCTTAGAGTAATCTGAGGATAACTCTGCAACAGTCCAAGCAAAAATATTTGCTCAACTGGTGTTATGTTATAGGAGATTTTTGCATCATATTAATATCGTGATACATGCTAGGTACTTTCCACAGGAAAATCTCATATCAGCCATTTGAATAATTACACTATACATTCAAAGAGAATACAGGACCCTTGCTCATAAGTATTTTCCATTTGGATATCCATCACATCACACTAATGAACACTGAAATCAAAAAAGATATTGCAAATGAACACACAGGAAAGAAAAAATTAAATCCACTCGTTCATATACCCACTATAATGCACCTTCTTGTAATCTGACAAGAGTTATTATCATTCAACGCATAAAATCACTGTCAGATTGCAATTCAGTATACACACTGTCACACTAAAGAACACTAAAATCAAAAAAGATACTGTAATTGAACACACAGGAAAGAAATATCTCTAAAATCAAATACATTCATTGTTCATATACCCACTATAATGCACCTTCTTGTAATCTGACAAAAGTCATAAATTACAATTCAATGCATAACATGACTGTCAGCTTGTAATTTGGTTTACACACTGTCTTCTAATAAACACATCTTTGATGCAAAGAACCATTAATTTGACTTTTCATTTTACACTTTGTTTTCATGTACCAAAATCTATATATAGAAAAAGTGCAACCACATCATAAAAGTATAACCTACAATGTATATAACATATTTTTAGATTTTAAATTAGTTTTTGTGTACATTTATCGGGGCCTATTTGTTCCCTAGAGTAAGACCAGTTGACAAGAGAGAGATGCTTCATGGACACTGAATGAATGCGTATCCACCCACGTCAGCTTGTAATCCAGGAGTTTCATCTTCATGAAACTTGGCATGAATGTTATGCCATTGATGGCCAGCGCAACCCCCTAACTTATAATTCTCTGCAAACAATTACAACACTATTGTAGATGCGCAAACTTCTAAGGTGTTAGGGATGAGAGTACCACATAATATATGCATAGAAGTAACGTGACATACCTCGATAGGCCCTTGGATGAGATGGTATAATTAAACATATTTTTGCAAGAATATTAAACATTTTCTTGATTCCACTATGCTTCTATTGGTTATGTTACTAAGACAAGTCATCCTGCGTGATGACTTTGACATGCACCACTTGTGTGGACTCCTGGCTCCATGCAGACTTTTGGAGGGTCTGCATGAGAACTCTTCTCATTAACGAGCACCAGTAATTCAGGTACTATGAATATGGTTGTCATTCACAATCCAAACATCAAGCCTCACAACAACAGTATTTAAGGTAACCTGCAGGTACACTATTAGAAGCCATGATTACAACGGAAAGGAATTAATTACTCATAAGGTGATGTGCAGGAAAATCTGCCATGATGGCAGAAGCCCAGGTGGATTAAAGTTCAAAAACTTTCTACCCTCTACAACACAACAGCATATTTTTATTCAGGAAAGGTACATCTCTGTTTTGTTATGTTGCTCTATAATTGTCAATACAGAAAATATAATTTACGTCATAAAAAAGTTATTTCATCTGTAGTTAATACATATTAGCTCCAGAATCCTTTCTTCAATGGAAACAGTTCAAAAGAGTACAACGTGCCTTCACATTAAGTGGATACTGTAATTCTTGCATCTTATTCAGAAGTACAGTATTTTGATATGCAAGAAGACTCATTCAACACTTCAACACAAAAATCAAAAACATACAAACCATTAACAATTAAGACAAATAAGAATTCAGACTGGCCCTTATACACCTTACTGTGCAGTGTATATGGCACATTATGACTTTCATGGTCATTTTCAAGAAGAAGAAAACTCTTACACAAGAAAATGTGTTCAACCATAGGGCAATATGGTCAATTTTAGAACTCCCCATGACTTATGCACACTTTCCTTTTTCAAACATATTAAGCTTTTCAATCATACATTTTGCCCAGTAAACTCAGACCTTACAATCAAATGTTCACAAATCACATGGTTTTGTGAATGCATGACACTCGGTTGGTGTTATATGAATTTCTTGATAAAAATACAGTCATTACACCTGTTAGCTTCATGCTTTGGAAATTCACTTTGTATATGAATTTCTTCATATAAATAGTCATTACACCTGTTAGCTTCATGCTTTGGCAATTGACTTTATATACGAACTTCTTCATATAAATAGTCATTACAACTGTTAGTTTTATGCTTTGGCAACTGATTTTACATAAATTAGTAATTATTATACATATTACATTTGTTAAAACAGTGGTGTGTTCATAATATGAAATAATGTTGAGGCATAATCTTTATTCTTATGTGCAAATAAAGGGGGAGGAAGTATATTAAAAAATATTAACAGATCACAAACAGTGTCAGTTATCACTTAACTTAAAAAACTGTTCAAGCAACTATGGGAACAAAGTTCACACGACCTACAAGAGCGCAAAGCATATAAGATTAATAGGATACCTTATTTCCAGGCATCACTGGTGTGAACATAAGAACCCTGTGATGTATTTAGCCAATGGTATTGTCCTGCAGAATCACCGTGAACTGTGTGACACTGAATACTGCAATTACTAAGTACCATGAAGGTATATCAGGTATAACTGAAGGACTGGGTCTGCTTTACAGCTGGAGAAATTAAATCTTCAGCAACATGCTGTACGTCATGCAATTAAAAAAAAAAACACAACCCTGAAAAAACATTTTCAGGACAATTAAATTAAAACATGACAAATCAGGTATGTCCCCCATAATAATCAAGCCATCTATAAAATAAGCATTTTTAAACTACCAAGTGCTACACTCCCTTCTGTTCCAAAGGACTTTATTTTCCTTTGATAGTTTATGAAGATCTTATTAGGAAAAACATCTTAGTAACAAAACACAAGGCAAGAAACTATACCAAATGATCAGATTCCTCCATAAAAACTTAAAAGGTTTTTATTTTTAACATCATACCATGTCTGATAAGTTCTGTATGATTCAGGAGGATGAGGTGGGCAGGGCATGTAACACAAATGGGGGAGACGAGGAATGCGTATAGGATATTGGTGGGAAAGCCAGAAGGAAGGAGACCACTGGGAAGACCAAGGAGTAGGTGGGTGGACAATATTAAAATGGATCTTAGAGAGATAGGATGGGATGGTATTGATTGGATCACTCTGGCTCAGGATAGGGACCAGTGGAGGGCTCTTGTGAACACAGTAATGAACCTTCGGGTTCCATAAAATGCTGTGAAATTCTTGAGTAGCTGCAGAATTGGCAGCTCCTCCAGAAGGGCTCAGCTCATGAGTAAGTAAGTAAGTACCATGTTTGATAAACGTTAGTACCTTCAGTGAGGAAGCCTGGAAAGAACATATACGCATCTGAAACTGTAATCATGAATTAAGCAACTGGTAAAGTAAAAATGGAGAAGGAACAGGAAAGCACACAAAATGAAAACGATTGTTTGTTATGACAGAAATGCTGTACACCAAAAACTGAGGAAGAACTCCCTTTATGCTCAAGTATATAAAATATATTTCTCTGTACTTTGCTGATGAGACTTCAGACTTTTTCTCCTTGTGTGGGGGTTTCTTATATAGCAGTCTGTACTGTTCATGCTTTACCTTTATCATCAGCATTTAAGTCTCCATCTTTTATGGAGCTGGTGGCTGGATTTAACTTGGCGGTAATGGGGATTATAGTAGTATAAACAAGGCAATACTAGTGGTGCTTGGCTTGCTGAAGCAAGGCATGCACTTGTACAGTTGAGATGCAAAGACAATAAAGGTTTATATATGTTAACCTTTTAATTTATATACTCTTTCAAAGTAACATCTTGTCAATATNTGGGGGGGGCTCAGATTTCGCAACATGTCACAATATAATTATGTGATATACAAAAAAAAATAGTTGCTTTTATCCACATGTCACCATAGCTATATTTGACTAGATCCAGGAAGTCTACTGCCATATCATGCTCTATGACAACATTAATCTCACACCTCGAGAAAAATGCAGACAAAAATTTAAATGATCTAGTATAACATAGCACGCCTCAAACACCTACAGGACATCTTCTGGCTTATTTTGGACTTCAACCATCGTCTGGAATGTAAAAGACAAAAGACCACGACGTTTCAGAGACTGGATCTGTCTCCGTCTTCAGGTGGACCAATCGTCTCAAGCCAAAACAGTTGAAAAATAATTCTGCGCTAACAGAAATGGCAAACACAGACTCTGAGCTGTAAAATACAGTGGAATGAAGACAAATGCTGCATCAGCTGAAAGTCAACATAGATAGAAACATGGCGGGATGGCAAAATGCAAGAGTCAGCCCTGTTAGAAGCCTGACATGAGAATTTAAAAAACTATTGTGGATTTGCATCTGGTAAAAGCGTTCAGTTCTCTGCTTAAACAACACTGAGCCAAGAGTACTGTCATTCTGCTTTACGCTTTTGATGCCCCGTATAAGAAAAAGAGTTCCCAACTGAAATAAAAACTTTTCCATGCAAGATTTGAGGTTCTCACAGCAGTGGTCATGAAGAGTTGTATCATCTGGGATATAACACCATGCAGTCCACTGAAAGTCAAAAAACACTTTAGAGGAACATGTTTCTTCCATCTTCAGGGTCAAAATAATAAGCCAAGCAAAAAACTAGCATGAAGCAGGTCGACTGCTTCCATGTTCCTCTGAAAAATCAGTTGACTTTCAACAGACTGCAGGGTGTTATATCCAAAAGACAGAACTCTTCAGCTTTCTCCATTATAATAATTCATTTTAAAATTCTGTCATAATTAGCCAAATGTCTGTAGTGCTTTGCCATGATGTTAGAATGTTTAGAAGATAGTCTAAGTTTGAAGTCACTCTGTATTTTATTTTAACATATCCTTCATTTTGAAGAGGGTGGTTACAGTTATCCTTCCAGAGGAGGAAGTTTCATGGAAATCATTTCTTTTAAAAAGTATACAACTTTGAAATAAACATTTTGTGCATTATGATGCATCAAATGTTCCTAACAAATAATGTGATAATTTGGCTTAAAATTATATAAAAGATGCTATTATACACATCTAACCACTTGTTTTATTCTCACAGACATCAGCAATGTATCTACATAAAGATCTAATAACAGTCCTTACTTAATATAAGTAACTCAACTAACTGAACTGTTTACAACGGTGTGTAAAAATTGTATGCATCCAGTAATATCAATGCAACATAATAACAACACCTAAGTGTCAATCACAACCTATACTGAGAACAGATATTTCTAACTACCTGCATGTATAAGTTTCTTACAATAACTGAAACTCTTCCTGATATAGATACAGTGTTGTTATACACAGGAGGTGAACAAAATACCGTATTTACACATGTATAGGCCGCAAATTTTTTGCCAAAAATTCAAGAGGAAAACTGGGGTGCAGCTTATATTCGAAATATTCTAAATCACACTTCATTTAAAAAAAATTTACGTTGCCAAATTTCGGAATAATTTCTACTCCTGAAATAATATTCCAAGAAAATTATTTTTTCTATAATTTCTGTCTGAAAATTGTGCTGCGGCCTATACACGCACGTGGCCTATACATGCGTAAATACGGTAATGGAAACACTAAGAAATTGAGGAATAGAACCTGTGTAGGGCACACTGAAAGAACTTCAGTTGCCAACACTGAATGTTCTTTTATTTGTTTACACACTATACTGCTCATTTCAGTGCATTAGTAATTGTGTTGATAGTCCATGTGAAAGAACTGGAAAATGGGAGACTTGTCCGATTTTCAAAGAGGACAGATCATTGGGGCACAGTTAGCCGGAGCATCTGAGATAAAAAACTGCCACATTATTTGGTGTACCCAGTCACAGATTCAAAGGTTATGTCCTCTTACACAAATCATGGGAAGACATCATCAGAGAAAAGGAACAGTGGGCAAAAATGAACACTGATTGAAAGAGAACTTTCCACACTGAGAAGAACTGTTTCTAAATCACAGAACTACTGCAGCACAGGTGACAGCAGAACTGAATATTCATGTTTCCACAAAAGCTGTCTGACATGAGCTTCACAAATCCAACATCCACGGTAGGACTGCAATTACTAAACCTCTGATTACTGAAAGTAATGCTCAGTGAGTTTTCCTTCATGCTATTCACTACAGCAGGAAGAGATTTGGGGAAGACCCAAGGAAGCCTACAATCCAGAAGGCCTGGTTCCAACAGTGAAACACAGGGAGGCTCTGTGATGGTTTGGGAAGTAAAATTGTAGAAGAGCTTTCTGTTGGGCCCATTACCCTTCATGGCCAAAGTACTGCAAGGGAGTATGTACGAGTAGACAGCTTTGGTAATCAGGTGCATCCCATGAGCCAGAAATTTCTGAAAAAAGATGCACTTTTCCGAGAGGATGTCTCAATTCACACAGCTGGAACTGTTTGTTCAGTCATCATTTAAAGAGCATTCCAATCAGGTTTCGGTTCCTATCTCCAACATTCCTAAAGCAACTTGAATAAGTTCTTCAAGAAGAGTGGTATAAAATTCCATTAAAGACTGTTCAAAACTTGTATGAGTCCATTCCAAAGCAGCTGCTTTGAAGGCAAAAGATGGTTCAACATCATATTAATACAGAAATGTGTACAGTATCTGTAGTGTTTCCATTATTCTGTCCAACCCCTGTGAATACAAACTGGGTTTTGGACAATGCTTAAAAAATAGCAGACTTCATCAACACTCTACCATCTACATATACATTGGTGATGTGCAAATTAAATATGTATTCTATTTTGTGGGTAAAGTATCCCTTACTCTGTAACTTTCAACTGACATTTTCTCTAATCTTGCAATAAAAATAAGAAAAGAGTGACTGTACTTTTGAAGCATTATCCATGCCTTTGGGTGATGTCATTGCTGTTAAGAGATTTGTATTCAAGTTTGTTGGAAATTCTTCTACCCCACTCTTTAGCCATTAAAACAGCTTCATCTTGCGAATATACACATAATCTTTTCATTGGCATACATGATACTGAAAGCACAAAAACCATGAAGATGGAATGAAAATGTTCACAGGTACACTGATGGGAACACAACTCAGTGAAAAGTGTTTCTATAAGGACCACATATGATCTCTTAATTAAGTATATAAATACTCATTTAATAAAAGCTTCTGCTGGAATTGTTCCTTGTTTATTCAGTTCAGTGAAAACGAACATGGCTCGCTGAAAATCCCACCCAGTTTCATCAAGACACCTGTAAAAAAAAATAGAAGTTAACTTCAGTTCTCATGAAGTTATGTCAGCTCATATTTCCTCTTTTTTACTCTTGACACAAAAGAAATCCGTTTTTTCATCAAGTCATTACACATGGAAATATGAAAACAAATCACTACACTTACAAGAGTATAATAATATTTCTTCCAGTAATAAGTAAACGCCTAAGAGTTTCAATTCTAACAAAACCTGGATCTTAACTATATCTGACACAAGTTTTTATCCACAATGTTTTGGAAAATGTATTCTTCATGTATACTGATACTGCTGTCACTAAAAGTATCCGGGCCTAAGCAAAAGATCTGTGAAGTCAAAACTTTGCTTAAAAATGAGAAATAGTAACAGCGTGAAGATAATTTTATAAAATGTGATGCTGCACATACTATCTGCAAGGTACTGACACATATATTGTAACAGAAAATGCATGAATAATAATAACAGATAATAATTTTATTTTTAATTTACAGATAACAAACAAATATCTGTTAATTTCAATCACTGCACACGTTAAACAACACACAGGTACAGATTATACTGGGGAAGGATGGAGCAAAGCCAAATAAAACAACTAACATGCCGACACTTCAAGGACTATCACCAGTCTACATGAAGTTTCCAGACACATCTGAAGAAAAATCTATCTACACAAAGGGAAAAGGCCATTAAGGGATTTAGGTACAAATGGGCAAAGCATTAAAATAGAATCTAGACTTTCTGACAGTTCACTCTTGAAGACACTCTTGAATCTTTGCTCTGTGTGAATGTGGCCAGTGTTGCCAATGTTTCTGAGGTATATGCTACCTCCTTCTTCAGGGTCAAAGTTCACACTGTGAACACTCACTCGTCCTACTCAATTCAACCGTGAATACAGATGGAAGCACATACATCTAAAATGAGCAACAATGTTCGCTTCCACATGCAGCAAAGACCCAAGAGCAAGATTGGTATCAAAGGGATATTTATCAGGGTGTGAGGGTGTGGACTGCTTTCAACAGGCTCAAGATAGGGCAGTGGTGGGCTCTTGTCAACAGAGTAATAAACCATTAGGATTCATAACGAAATAGTTTTCATGGTATGTGGTTTGTAACTATCACCACCACATTTACTTTCATCCTCAACAAAGTCACTGTCAGCAAGTGTTCCATTATAAAATGAAATGAAACCACAAACTAACAGAACTTCACTACATATCTCGGACATGCTCCAAATGATTTTGATATCTGTGGTCTGAGACAATGTCTAGATGGGAAACATTGCATGCAACCTACAACGGTTCTGTTGAAGAAAACAGCTTATCCATTAGTGACATACAGAAAATAAGAGAACATTAAGCATGCAAGGACACAATTTCTCTAATGGTGGCCTCAAATATAACATTGAGCAAAACACATTTACATGTAAACACCCTCAAAATGTTAAATGTGGTTACTTGTGAGCATACTGAATATTAAAAATATCAGGTACTGACATGAACTCCCACTACTGATGATTGCTGAAACCTCAGTACTTACTTTCTTGCCCAACAAACATTCATCCCAGACTGGGCAGCAAAACTTTCTGCCAACTGCTGCTTTGCATTATCATCCATGAGCACTGACTGGGGAGAGGTCGCAGCTGCTACCGGTACGACCACAGGGGTAGGTGGTGGCATTACTACTGGCACTTGCGTTTGAAATGCCACCTACAAAGAACATACCACATTAGACCTTTCCAAACATGAAGACAGCAGTACAGAATTCGTATGCAGCTGAACTTAAGAGAAGATGAAGGCAATATATAAGTGCCATGTTTATGAAGTTATTTCCATACCATCTAAAAGAGAGATAAGAAACACTGAATCCTCATACACTTGATGTTAAGAGAAGCTAATTCAGTGCAAGCTGAGAGACCCATTAACCTTCCATAAAACCTATATCCTGAATACATGTCATCCACATGCATTCTGATGTATAGAAACGTGGAAAGTTAAGGTTCAGAATCGTTACAGGCTTTGTACTTATTGTTGGTTCATATGCTGAACAATTTTACAGTAATTTATTCAAAGGGAGCAACTCTAATGGGAATGGGCCAGAAAAGCAGGGTTTGATTCTCAGTATGGCAAAAGATTCTTCTCTTCAACATCATGGCCAAACCGACACTGGCACCCAGCCAGCCTGCTATCCAACAGGTAATATATGTTCCTTTCCTGAGGGTGATGTGGTTGTGGTATGAAGCTGAGAACCCACCTCCACTCATGGTCACTTTCCCATACATATTCATGGCACAATGCTTAATTAAGCATAGGGGCCACTTTACCATTACCTTATCACTTGGAATGAGTACAGATAGTGTAAAGATATACTCATGCTAGGCAGGTAATACCAGAATGCTGGCCTCCAGCTAACGAACATCCAGGGAAATAACCAAAAGCTTGGCTTTTAACTTGTCTCTCTTATTGGATTAAAAAAATTACACACACAGAAGTAGATGTACAATTTCAGTGTTTTATTCCATTAGAAAAGTATAGAGGCTGGAACTTCAAGCTGCTCTTCTGGACTCCTCTCATGAAGGAAACAAATCGTAATGTAATCAAAGATCTTATTTTAAGTGTGAGGAAGATTCTGATAAAACACAACCAGAATATTAATGGAGGCAAAAGGTGCATGGTCATGTATATCACAAGGTACGGAGGTCCATACTTGGCAGTAATTTGTCTTGCCTGTAAGCCTGAAATTGTTATCGTAATATTGCCCCCCCCCCTTCTGAAACTGGCATCTTCAACACAATTTTTCATAGAGAAATATACAGAACTCACGGTGTTTTCTGAGACCAATGCTCCACAGTTAGCTAATCACAAATTTGCTTGAGACAGATACATACCTTCCTTTGCTCATCGGTTGCATTTGTAACGAACAGCTGCTCATTAACGATGCAGAAACCATCACCAAAAGGCACTATCATAAATACCCTGCTGAATGACCTCAGGGCCTGGTTCTTCGAGAGTCCACGCTCCATAAATAGGCCTGTGACTGATATCGAGATCAACTGTGGCTGTCAGAAGAAACCGTAACAAAAACTGCATATAAATATAATGGACCAAAAATGGTTAACTCATTACTGTGCCTAACTTATTTCTAATGCACTTAAGTAGTAAAATATAACACAGTTTTGAAGCACATCATTAAGTGTCATGTGTATGTTCTTCCTAACCCCCAAAAAAGTAAGTTCCTGAAGTGCAAAGGGGGGCCAAGCTGACTCCTTCTTCAAATGTATCAAACTAATATTATATTTAAGCATCCTGTTACACTCACACAATATATATGAGACAAACTCCGTCTTAAGTGCAACAATTTTATTGTAGTCCTTTCTTCTTCCCTTCCTCCACACTACATGTTTCGCCCCTAAATGGCCATCATCAGGTGTGTATTCTTACGTAGCTGCTACACTGCCCGTAGTTTAAAATTTAAAATCACCAGTCTTTCCAATTGTATGTATGTATAAAATCTTTGTTAACCTACATGCGTCAATTTGATTTCTAAAATGTAGGTTAACAAAGATTTTATACATACATACAATTGGAAAGACTGGTGATTTTAAATTTTAAACTACAGGCAGTGTAGCAGCTACGTAAGAATACAAACCTGATGATGGCCATTTAGGAGCGAAACATGTAGTGTGGAGGAAGGGAAGAAGAAAGGACTACAATAAAATTGTTGCACTTACGACGGAGTTTGTCTCATATATAGTATCAAACTAAACTGTATTACTGAGACTCTCAAATAACATTCTATAGAAAACTGATATGTCTGCTACTATTTCGCCAAATTTGTGAAAAAAACCATAGTCTGCAGTTGTGAAATTAATGAATTCTATCATAGGCTAATAACAGTGTGTTTTCGCTGTTGAATGGGGAAAGTGGTAGCGATAAACAAAAAGTGGTCATTCACATCTTCCAATTTCAACTCACATTTCATTCGAAACTGTCCCTAGTTGATGTAACTTATTAACCAAGGTTCTGAAGTATCCTACTACTGCTGGGAGCACCTCCGAACAGCTCTGGTTCATTATCAAAGCATTTCCAGACTGACGTTTATATAATTTTTTTAAATGTTTTGGGCCACAGCAAAAACCTTTCAATTTACTGCACTTATTTCTTGGGAACTACATACACATTATACTAGGATACGGATTGTATCTATCCATGTGTTTGTATCTGTATGTGATGCAGGAATATGGATCATTTGCAGTTACAAACAGGACCAAAAGACTGAAGCAACAGACAATGATGAGATGTACCTATGCATCAGATGAGGGTGCAGTACTGACTTTTACCAAGAAAAGTTACACAACATGGACATTTAGTGAAATCATCATTTGAAAGTGTACCCCAAGGATGACATTGAATAAAAGTGGATTGATGGAAGGATAATCTGTAGAAATTGTAACTAGCAAAAAGAACTAACAAATGTTCCTGTTGAATTTTCAATGACATTTGATGATAAAATAGTTATTATGATTCAGGCGTATTATGTCGTTGAAGGGAGGTGAAGAAAGAAATGTACAGATAGAGCAACACGTCTTCACTAACATGAAAATGTTACGCACATATGGAAAATTGGCGATGGTCCAACAAGGTTCAATCTTGTCTGATTACTTTTCAAGTTCTTCAGCATTAATTCCACACTAAACTCAGTAACCTGTATGCATGTGTACATTATGAAGCAATATCTACTTGTGTCCCAAACTTACCGTGAAGAGCGTGAGGTCAACAGCAAATGAAAGAGGGTCATGCTGTGTCTTGGGCAGTTTGGAAAGACATGCGACAATGGCCATTTTTCCTTGGTATAAAAACCTTTGTCTTCTGGTGCTATCTTTCACACGGATGAGATTCCGACTATCTGTGATGTAATTCACAAGCCTGGAATGCAAATACAATTGTGAAGGTCAAAACGTTTCATAGTGGTAATCTAGTAGAAGCTTCTCAGCATCGTGAAGAAATATACTGCTACCACTATCATGATGGTATGGTCTTCCAGGTTATGATACCACATGCTGCCTCCATCTTCAGGGTCAACCATAATATGAATTTTATTCCCCTAAAAATCTCAAACACCATATTTTAAAATTATGTGAAATGACAAAATCCTGAATTAACAACTTACTTAGAAGAGGTAGTGGAACTCTGACCCGGTGGGTAGGCTGATGTGACTGAGAACATGGCATCATTATGGTACGCATTGACCAAAGGTTCTCTGTTATCACTATCATACAGATGGTAGTACTGCTCCAGAAACTGTCGCACGATAGTCATGCCTTCTTCTGCACACAAGTAGCTCCCCTTGCTTTTTGGCAATTGTAGATCTTCATTCACGTCAAACAGTATTGGCGGAGGGAGGTCAGCCCCATCCTTCATATAAAAGAAGAAACATAAGACTCCACATTGTACATCAATATGTCATTTATAAATTATCTGAGAAAGGAAAAGTTTCACTGCCTAGCTCTCCCTTGTGGTATTTTCTTTTTTAGATTTTCCAACTAAAATTTTGTCTGCATTTCTCTTCTCTTGCATGTGTCCTGCATACCCTTGCCTGTGTTCTCTTTATATCACTCCAATTGTACATGGCAAAGAGCACGGATGATGAGTTCGTCATTATGCAGTTATCTCCAGCCTCCTATCACTTCAAAAACAAATAAAAACAACAAAAGTATTCTGTATTTGACTGCCAAAGAGATGTGTCTGCTGATGATTCATTCATTCCATCTTGTCTGTGATGTTACTGCAAATTCTTCTGACTGAAATATAATTAGATCAGTTTTGTCACAAAATATAAAAATTTAAAATCTAACACACCCAAACACACTGTACTGATCAGACACTTAACTTTTGTACCAGATCACGGTCATTCAACTCCAAAATACTATAGGGCCACAAAAAAGGAACACCATTTTTATCAATGGTAATGCAAGAATATCAAGTGTAATGAGGTCCTCAAACAATGTATGTAGGTGAACAATGCTTAAAGATGAGCTTCTAAAAGGATTTCTTCACTGTACTGAAATTTCATATGATCACCAAATCACACTACTTTCATACTTTTCTAAGTTATTTGTTGTGTGTCATGTGAAATCAAATGAAAAATTACAGACAATATTTAGTAAGCACTTTCCATAGGATCCTTTTTTTTGACAAGACCTGCAAGAAAACGGAAGTATTAACACATACATAAACATAAGTTTACAACGATGGTATATTGCTACAAGTATTATGTTTTTGGACATCATCCATTCTCTTGTCTTATTTTCTAAAAACCGTTTTGTTTCTTTTAAAAAACATAACATTTCAGAGACTGGATTCTGTCCCCGTCCTGAGGTAAAACCTACTCAGTTGGGTCCAATGGATAGAGCTAGCCCCTATCTCCAGACTTCAAGTCCAACCAAACACATCACGTTAAAAAGGGGAGTTCTTCATAGTTTGGTCAACTGAGCGAAGGTCATATGTCAAAACCAGAAGGATTTTAACATCGAAATTAGAAACATAAGACGTGATCTGATGCTCAGGGAATATCCAAAGGAATTCATGGATTCTGCAATGAAGTGTCCAACATCAATGTTTAAACATAAACTTGTTCCCATTTTTCTCTTAGTTCACAAACAAGCAAAGAATACACGTACCACTCAAGAAAGAAAATAGTATTATAATCTGCACCACTCACCAGCTTCATCACTCTTGGGAACCTCTTCCTCACTTCGCTGTAAAATAGGTTTGATCACAGTTAGCAAGGCACCGAAGAAGACGCCTGCAAACATCTCACAACAACATTAAAATACCACAATCCAAATAACGTACTTCATGGGGAAATGAACAGAACCCTCACATAAAGTGATTTGGTATATCAGAGAATCGTCATACACAAATAATGACTTTCACAAAAGCCATCTTCTGCAACTTAGATGAATTTCATCCACTTTCCATCATTCTCTTTAAATCAGAGCCATGTGATGAAAAAGCCTTCAGTATTTAGCACAGACAACTTTCCATGCATGGCATGGTGAGGCTAGTACTTCAGACCCCATCCATTATCAAAACTCTGTGAATATACACTGCAATGACTAAACTGAACAAGCGGAGTTGTGCCTTTCTGGTTTATGGCAACCCAATTTCCTTTTCTAATTTGAGACATCTCTACAAGAAAGCAATTCCTGCAAATCATATGTAATATGTCATAAGAAACCACTATAAATATAAATACAAAATTATGCTTTTTAATTATCTTCATTTTAAGTAGTTTTAGAAAGGAAGTTAAGTGTGATTTTCAGACCAATTAGTCTAGATGTGAAACATCAGCTGCTCACAGGAATTCAAGCAATATGAGTAAGATATACTGCAAATAATACATACAAAAAAGCATGCACATTTGTTTTCCAAGTGTTCTGAAACAGAATACGTGCCTTCCAAAGTTGTTTCACATGTACTATTTGCCAAACTGAAACCTGTAACATTCAATCATATACAGTTGTATTGATAGAGGTTGAAAAATGAATGCAATGAAAAATGTTAAAATTCACTTGGAGTTGCCCTTTTTATATATTTGATAAATTTAGAAGGAAGAAAGTCCATGTGAAATCAGAATCCAATATGATTTCTAATTTACTGCTTATATGGATACTTCATTATGCATCGAACAATTTCAGTATTCCACTTTTCTACAACAATAAATGTCAGATCTTGTAATCCAGTAGGTTTCAATATATTTAAATATTTTCCCTTCTTTCTTTAAAGTCGCTTCTCACTTCCCAAAATCATACATTGCTTACCATTAACTGTCCATGAAGAGTGCACTCAGAAGGTCACTGGGTTAATGTTAATGGTGCCTGCTAGCGGGAGTTAGTTCACTAACCCCGTCGCCGTCCTGGGTCACCTATGTTCATGATGCAGATGTAAAGTTGACAACTGGATAGTTTTCACTCAGTATTATTTTACTGCTGGGCCTAATATGTTTCAATGTTGTACAGTGCAGAATATCACGGATCATATGAATGTAGATCGGTGATTCCCCAACATCTGATGGTCTGCTGCTACCAACTTAAAATCTGCTTGTATTTGTAATTTCTATTTCTTCCCTCACAAATCCCATTTTGTAATGTTCTTTTAACCTTGCCAGTTTAATACTTTCAATGTCTTTCCTATCATTAATTTCTATTGCTTCTTTCACAAAACATACTATATGAACTACAAGATCTGTCCAGCTACCGGCAAGAAACATTTGAAAACAGCAGAAATACCAATGTTTATGAGTACCAATGCTCAGCATTTTACTTGGAAACACTCAAGGAACCATACAACAATGCTGGGCCCATTTTTGACTGTCTCCAAAATATGGTCAGATTTTCTGTTTAAAAAGATATCCCACCCTTCCACGAAGTTTTAATGTCTGTGCTTACACAGTGACAGTATTTTATTTTGTCATCAAGAGATGGCTACCTTATGCTCCTTTGTGGTCTCTGTTTGAACAAAAATGCATTTCATCAAAACTGATCTAAAAATGACATTGCAATACTAGGAAATGCCTACCATTTAAATGTATCTGCAAGGACACATAAGGTAGCTACCATCTACTGAAGTTTCGAGGAGTTAAAACATTTTTCCGTCATACTGGTTCTGCTTTTAGGGGCATGGATCACTATTTACTTTCATTCATGAATCACTGGAAATCATAAACGTGTCCTGTGAATCTTAACATTTTAAACATGCCATAAAATATATTTATAATTAAACTAGATGAGCTGTTATTAGATTTTCAAGAATGCTGTGACTCCATATTTCTATTTATTTTGCAGAATTGATAAACACAGCTGCAGTGAAAATATGAAAAGTGTTAATAAATAAGGCAAACTTTGCACATATGAAACAATATGGCAGACTTAAAAACTGTGCTTACAAATACACACACGGATGAAATTTGTAAACAAAAAAGTGATGTATTGAGTCAAAAACATCAAACATGCATGTGAACAGAACTAATGAATTTGTAAAATAAATTTGATATTATGTCACTGAGTATAATACATTAAAAAAATTAGTAAATGTGTAAGAAAATATAAAACGAACAACTCTGTAGTCTTTAGTATGAATAAGCGAAGAACAGGAATACAGGCTTCTCATATGTTTTGTCCATTTTAATTTTAATTTTTGTAATAATATTTGACATACTGACCATCTGAAATTTCAATTTTGATATTAAATGGTATAGTTACCTTCCATGTACTTAGTACTCAAAGATGGAATTATAATTCACGAAAGAGACGAAACTTACTCCCTGGGCCCCTCCCCCAAATATAAAGAGAAAGAGAGAGAAAGAGCAATCACATGTGCATATACTGAATTCCATTATAGTTGCTGGTTTGTATTTTTTCTTTTATACCAAACACACTTCTTTACAACTATACCTAGCCCATGGAAAGAAATCCCATCGTTGGTTGGAATGACAGTGCTCGAGGTTCCCCACCAGCCCCATCTGGTATATGTCAACCAGCATAGACTGCTGTTTCTAGTGACAGTTATCCTATCAACAGCTGCGTGAACAGAATGGCTTGAAAACTGAAGGGCGATTGGTGTATTATGCTGGGAAGATACATAGCAGCACAAGAGACACGTGAAAGTCAATCCATGGGATTTCATTCTGTGGCCTCCGTTTAGGACAAAAAGGTTCTGAATATTTCTCCGAGTACCCAAAAAACAAAAAACAATGGAACACATTATCATTACTTACATCAACTTCACTTCTTTTCCAGCAAATCACCTTTCCAAGATTAGAGACCCTGTTAGTTACACAGTTTTCATCAAGCCGCAATCTGCTGTCAAAACATGATCTAATGATTTTAGGATCCTGACTAATGATCTACTGAACAGCAAATATACACTGTAACATTTATACAAGAGGTGCTCAATTTTCTTGTGTTCAACTTAACATTTCAGCATTCAATAAATTAACCCATCAGCATACCTACTGATCAAACAGGCTGCCTCAGTCACCATGCGAAGCATGTACCTAACAGTGAGCCTAACCATTTCATGAAGAATACTATTCCTTCAAACAGGACACAGTTAATACTTAGAAATTCTATCAAACAGATGGCACTTCAAGCATCTCTGATCAGGCTGTGCATGTGCATTGGAATTTTGAATATAGGCTGTGTAATAATGTGGTACCTCACTGAAAACAAATCAAGAACTTAAAAATACCTTCCACCTTCTTTAATTTCTCATATCAATCATCTAAAAGTCAGGCAATACTTTTTTACACTGATAATGCCAAGGACCCTGAGAGCTATACCAGCGGTAGCGTAGCTACTGGCAGGGCCTCCCTTGCTGGACAGGTCAAAGGGTAGGCATCAGACAAAGAGAGACACCAAAAACTGATGCCGGAAGCAGCGTCATCAGCAGCGACTTGAAGCACAGAGCAAATGATGCTCGAGATGGTTCAAGTTCGTATAGCAGCAGGCGTGACCAGAGTGGTTTTGAACGGCTGCTGTACTGCGATGTGGAAAGCAAATGGAAAAACTACCACATTATCACTTTTCCTGGATAGTCTCTTTCCAAAAACAGAAGATCGCATTAAGTGGAGGAACTGTTTTGGAAGAGGCTGTGGACCTGTCGTCTGACAGATTACTGATGAATGAATGAATGCATGTTCACGAACTATGCCACAGCCCAGATAGTTAAAATCTGGCTTCTCCATATCCTTATTTTTGTGCACCCTGTTGTGTTATAAAATCAAGGTATTGGAACCATTTACACAACAATAAAGTAAATCAAAGGATTCCTTTTGCAGAGCCTTGCGTTCATTCCCAAGTAACTTCATATGAAATTCATGGTGGAAGAAGCATAACTGAAGTAGCTTTTTTCTAGGTACTTTTGGTTTTGCCCCACTAATCATAATTCCACTACTGCTCCACAATCCAATGAGGGGATGTGACAGCCATAACAAGGCAGCATATTATTATATCTCAGTCTCTTTTAAGTTAGCGGCCTCATCTCTGGCCAAGCAGTTGGATGGTTACACAGCAAAGAAATTTATGCATATGTAACCACATCATAACTTCAACTTCAAGGTTCATTCTTCTTGACAATTCCACCAGCCATCTGGTGACACCTACAGCAATTAAACAAATCCAGTCCTACCTCACATACAAATTCTTATCCTGATATTTGTCACAAAGGGGGTTTCCACGAAGCACTATGTCTTCCACACGGAGGCTCTCTAAACAGCTGAACTGGTTCATGTCTCGAATCTAGAAATAAAGCATAAAACTCTAAAACTGAGAAGCCTGCTGAACATGCATAAAGTTAATCTATAGCCATCATGCTCTCTAAAGTGAAACATACCATTCCATGCAGAAAGTCACTGAAAAACAGATGCATATTTTTCATTCTAAGTGAATGAGAAGTTTAAAAGTTGTGCTATTTCTGTGTGAAGAAAAGGCATGAGGGTTATCCAGAAAGTAAGTTCCAATGGGCTACTGAAGAAAAAAGAAAAACCCTGCATGCATGCGCATCACTGTGATCATGGCGCTGCAGCAGTAATATCTGGAAACGGAACTTACTTTGCGGATACGCCTCGTACTTACGACATACATACTTTACAGTCTCAGTAATTAGTACCATTACATGAAGGGAGAATAACAAGACAGTCATAGAGATACAGACTGTGAGAATGAAAGGTGGATAGTCCAGTTTATTGTTCATTAATAATCTACATATATAAAAGGGTTTATGGCAATTTTTATCCCCCCCCACCAAACATATTTCTATAAAAGTAAAGCTATCCCTGTAACAGGCCATGGAGGCCCATGTGGTTGAGATGTTGAGGTTCCCACATTTTCTAGACAATCAGTTCACATGTGGCGGTAAGGTTGTCAGCCTTATGAACCAGCCGCCCTTTATGCCCAGGAATATTCCTGGTACTCATTTCTGTCAGAGGCTGAGTCGACCCCAGGCCATAGTGCAGCTGGAAGGATTAGGTAAATTGAAAAATTCACCTCATCGGGATTTGATCCCACGACTTTCCCGCTTGTGGCATAGTGCCTCAACCTACTGTGCTACCGCATACCCCAAGATATTTGTATAGGCTACATAAAATGATTATGAAATGACAAATGTAGAAAATATGTAGAACACCCACATATCAGCTGCATGTTTATATTCTGATATCATATTGAAACTTTTATGGAAATTATAACATCAAGCAGCATGAAAATACTATTATTTTAGTAAGCTCTTATTTAATGACACTGTCAGGTACTCAGTCTATATAGTTTTAAAGGACTAGACAGTGGATAATTGGAAAGAATGTGGAAGGACATGATCAAGGCCTAACTTTAAGGTACTTGGAGGGACTCTGGGAAAACATGAAAACTACAGTCAATATATCAGGTGTCATGGCCAAGAATGAACCAAGTACCTCCTCAATACAAATCAAAGCCATCTGAGCCACTTTTCTTGGCAAAACACTAGAGTTGCTTGTGCAGTTAAGTTTCCTCAGTTTTAGTCCAAATTCATGAAAAATGTAACAATCTCTTTGAAAAGGAAGCACATTTTTTGTTTTACTTAATGCAACCTTCTATTGGCCAGATTACAGAGTATAAAATGAAAAAATTATTAGTAAATAATAAACTGGAGAGGATGGCGAAGGAATGGTAATGGCCTTATGAGGTACTACCCTGATATTATCCTGTCAGGAATAAAGGAAATAAAAAAACCTTAATCACGATTGCCGGTCTCCAGGCCACAATTTGAACCTTGGGCCTCCTGAACAAGACTGCTACTCATTCAACATCGACAGTATGTAATAAGGAAGCAAAGGCCTACCTTAAAAATGCTTCAACATAAAGCAGAAAATCACATGTAACAAACTGAAAAATGATGCAGCATTAATCAATCTGAATACAGCAACTCACCCGGTTTCTCCCGATGTGAAGGACTTTGAGGTTCGGAACTTTAGCAGCAAGCACATTCAGGCTGTCAAGTGCATAAAGCTTATTGTCAGATAAATCAAGCGCTGTCAGCTCCGGAACATTTTCCACAATGATATCTAAAACTGCCAACATCACGTTGGGTCTCAATAACGCCACGGCATAATTATCCACAAGATCTGAAAACACAATTTCAAGTTAATCTTCAGTAATACTGTGCATACCCACAATTCTAAACACAATGGCGTTTCTCTGCTCCTGTTAAATACCACATCCTCTCTATTTATATGATGCACCCCACTTTATTGCACTCTTCACATAAAGTGGGTAAAATGAACACAAAATATAAAAACTGTATTTGTCCATCTGCCTGCCTGTCTGTGTATGTATATGTGTGAAAGGAGTGGCCCATAAAATCCAGCCATTGCACTGCAACCTTCAATGATTTATTGTGCATCTCCTTCGGATTAACCCTTTATTAATCCTACACTTCGAATGAAATGTAGGACTTTATTTATGGTGGTGTCATAAAAGTCACTTGGTTACATGAGGAACTGACCCAGGTGGCGATATCTTAAGCAAGCCATGGCCTCACAATCACATAGGATATGTGTGACTGATTCTTCTTCTTGTAGGAAACTTTCACAGGTGGGATCATCTGTCATTCCCAGTTTGAAAAGGTGTCCTTTTAGGATCCAGTATTTAATCTTACCACCCACCTGAACTGACCTCTGTTTAATTTCAACAGGTCCTTCGTTCTTCTGATAGAGGGTCCTGATATAAATCCCTTGCCTGACTGTCTACAAAATTACTGACAGACTTTATGTTACACAGTGCAGTTGTAGTGAACCTGATTTGATAAATTACACAAGACCATGCAGCAATGTCCCTTTTAAGAAGCTAACAGATGCTAAATTTGTTACGAAATTCCACTGTTCCAAGGATCATTACCATGCTCGTAACAGCCTGCCACTGCATTCTTTATTGACAGTAAGATATTCCAGTTCACACAAGAGTTATGAACAGCAGATGATTAACTGTGTCAAAATTCACACTGATGATCAACAGTAATTTTATTTACCTACATAGTTAAGCGGCCTCCGTAGTCTAGAGGTAACGTTCCCACCTCATGACTCGTGATACGCGGGTTCAAGTACCCAGCGGAGGTTGTCGAATTTTTAAGGGCGGAAAAATTCAGGGAATAAGTCCTCCGGGAGGGACTTTAAGCTGTGTCCCGTGTCGTAACTTTAAGGCATGTAAAAGAACCTCATATCCCCAAAGGGGATCACTGAGCCTAATTCACGGACGTTTCCTGCCAAACAATAGCCTCTAAGGCCTCTGATAGATGGGGGAAGCATTATAGACACCGCTAAGCAAGTGGCCGAACTCGCTTGCTCAGCGGGACTGATGGTATGCACCATTTATCAGTAGGGTAAAGAGACTGGTAGAATATCATAGAGGGAAGCACAATAGATCAAACTGGTCGCGGTGCATGGGGAAACCCACCCTCTCTAAATAACTAACTACCTACATAGTTAACACAAAAAAAGACCAGTACATTACATGGTGTGTGTGTATTTCATAAAAAGTTACATGCCTTGATAATGACTAACTTGTTCTATCACTCTTCGGCAGTCCCTTCGACTGCAAAAAGCGGTCATATAGCACTGATTATGGGTCCCCCACAATACATATCCCTTGGCCTCTCTCTCCATCCATACCTGGCTACCACCCGTGGACACTGGTGGATCCCTGTACCCTATTTCACGAGTTCATCAAGTGTACATGCTTATGTTCAATACTTGGCATTAGGCAGAAACTAGGTTTCAGCCTTGTCCAGAACACGACAGTATTCCAGGCAGAAGTATATGCCATTAATGCATGTATAATGGAGAATCTAGTTAGGAACTACAGAAATAGGAACATCTACATTCTATCTGACAGCCAAGCTGCACTTAAAGCGCTTGACAAGATCAACACAAAATTGGTCTGGGATTGCCACCAAACTCTCATGGAACTGGCCAAACATAAGAGGGTACAACTGATCTGGGTGCTGGGGCATGAGGGTATTGCTGGAAACGAAATAGCAGATCAGTTGGCCAAGATTGGAGCTGAACATCTGTTCACAGGACCTGAACCAGCCTGTGGCATCTCTATAGGAGTTGCCAGACAGGCAATCAGGGACTGGACATATATGAATCACAAGAAATACTGGGGATCCTTGACTGGACTCATACGAGGGCCCTCTACTAAAAGAGCGAAGGAACCAGCTATAATGGGTGGTAGGACTACTTACAGGACACTGTCACCTCAAAGGACACCTCTTCAAACTGGAACTAAGTAACAGTCCAACTTGTGAGAGGTGTCAAGAAGAAAATGAAACAGCCACACATATCCTGTGCGAATCTGAGGCCTTAGCTTCTTTAAGATTACGTCACTTGGGTCAGTATTTTATGGAACCAAGTGACTATTTCAACGTCCCCACGTACAAAATTCTACGCTTCATTTGAAGCGCAGAATGGTTGAAGGGATAATCAGAATGGGAGGCACAATAGATCACTGTGGTCACAGTGCAAGGGGCAAGAAGGCCCTCCCCTTATCCCCTTATACATTCATTCATATATTCATTACTTCCAAAGCCACAACACAGGCCTTTTCAAACTGATAACAGATAAATTGAGGGACAAGCTGGATGAGCAGGCACATACTACATGATTGGTTATTCACATGCACACCTATTTCATAAAAAATGTGTGGCTTGAGTTGCTGATATGGAATTTAATATTTTCCAAAATTTGTCTAAAAGCAGGGATGCCCAGATTGTGCAAGGAAATAAAATACACTTTCTGTAGTAAGAACATAAAAAAGGTATATCAAAGGAACAGGACTTGTTGATAACTACACAAATAAACTATGTGTCTAATTAACTGACCTAATGATGGTTTTCCATGGACTATTATATTGCACATAACTGTAACTAGAATCCACTTACATTCAAGGACAGATTCTGTACATAAGCTTTAAAGTAACTCAAGTAATTAGGTAAGACCACGCATGAAAGAGATCCATCAATGTAAAAATTAAAAACTTTTTGAACTAAACAGTCATGATCAAATTTTTTCTTTGTATTTTCCAGCAACATTACTTCATTTGGCAGTTTATTAACAGTATAGGGCTATGCCATAGATCAGGTGGCTAGTCACTGGCTTCCCACCACAGTGGCCTGGGTTCCGGGTCAGGTCATGTGGGATTTTTGTGAACAAAGTCATAACGGGGCAAGTTCTCTCCAAGTACTTCAGTTTCACCTGCCAATTTGCATTCCAACAATTGGTCCACAATCATCTATCATCTGGGGCTGCTAAACAGCCAAAGAGTGGCTGTAGTACCAAGTGGACTCAGTCTCACCCCATGAGAAAAATAAAAACAAAACAAAAATTATATACATTATGACATATTTGCACTATGCAGGACACCCCTACCCTGCCAGCGGTGACATAACACCTTCGGAGCGTTGCCGCTGCTACAGTAATAGGCCAGTCAACACCCCGCCCTCCCCCGCGGTGACATAACCAAGGGATGCGACGGTTGCTACAGAGCAGTAAACAACTCTCGACCGTGTTGCTAGGCAACATGTAAACACGGCATCAGGCAACAGGGGTACCCATTACATAACTGTTTTCTGTGTTGTCTGTGCCGAGGCTAAATAAGGTACAGCGAACACTATTCAGTGAGTGAGGAGTGAGTGATTAGTTAGTGAGTAGTGAGTATTGAGCCAGTTACTAGAGAAAGAGTAACCAGTTAATTGCAGCCTAGTATCTGTGATACTGCCGATGGCAGTAATTGTGAGATTGTAAATGGTGTGACTGTAAGAGCGAGTGGAATAAATTCGCTATATCCAATACGGTGTGAAGTTATTTGTCACATTATGCACCAAACACGTGACAATATTAACAGTATACTATTTTTATATACTGGATTTCTGCTAAATCTGGAAGTAACGTATAGCTGGATTCTTAGATCATCCACTGTGTTTGTTAAGATATATCACAGCACATACAGTGTAGATGAGCATTGTCTCACCTGGATCTGTGTGGAAGCGGGACAAATCAAGAGCTTTTAGGTCAGCATTATAACGTTTCACCATTGCTGCCTTTATTTTTTCCTTCAGGGTAGAATTGAGCTCCACATGTGGTAATTCTGGCTTTACTTTTATCACCAGCTGAGCAAACAAACAGACAAATTGTTTAGAACGATTTATACATGTATTTGTTACACTAAGCTCACAGTGATGAGGCACAAGCTATAATCAATACAACATTCAAAGTCAAAACAGATTCACTTCAGTATATGGCAATATCTAAAAATCTTACTGAAGTTTTTTTTTTATCTACAGTGCATTCACAAATCAGAAGTTAATTCAAAATAACTTAATTTCAACTTCAGAAAATCTCACTACAATGGAATATCTCTACTTAACATTTCCTGAGTTAAAATTTTCTCTAATTTAGTCTTGAAACCAATTTCTAAAGCCAACATCTACATATCACTGTTAAACCTCCTTCCCTTACTAAACCCTTTGCATGCAAAAGGTGAGTAGGACTGTTTGGTGTACCTGCATTGCCATAGATGAAGGATTCAGGTCAATGTTAATTACTTAGTACAGCATTTCTGCCAGCAGATGGTAGCAAGTGTGATGTTCAGAGGAAAATATAAGCTTTCCTATTACCTAAATCTCCTATAATTTTAAACTAGCATGTGAAAATACTGTTGGCTTTTTTATGCACAACAGCATTTACTTCAAGCAGCCTTACAATTTCCAGCATGGAGCTCTATCAGAGGATTAGGCAGTCTATGGGTTAAAGCTTTGCCAGTTTCTAGTTCCATTTTATCCTATGCTACAGTAATATTAAATGGAGATTTCACTCAATTATAATACTGATGATCTGCTGGGATTCCATCTGGTGACATAATGATAAACTGCTCCATATGTAAAGGAAGAGTAAGATCAATTTAAAAGAGGTTATGAAAAAAGCAGTCTTCTGGGCTTTGGCGCCGTGTATATGTGGTGTTAACCGACGTTTCGGAGGAACGTATCGCCCCCATCGTTCCTCCGAAACGTCGGTTAACACCACATATACACGGCGCCAAAGCCCAGAAGACTGCTTTTTTCATAACCTCTTTTAAATTGATCTTACTCTTCCTTTACATATGGAGCAGTTTATCATTATGTCACCAGATGGAATCCCAGCAGATCATCAGTATTATAATTGAGTGAAATCTCCATTTAATATTACTGTAGCATAGGATAAAATGGAACTAGAAACTGGCAAAGCTTTAACCCATAGACTGCCTAATCCTCTGATAGAGCTCCATGCTGGAAATTGTAAGGCTGCTTGAAGTAAATGCTGTTGTGCATAAAAAAGCCAACAGTATTTTCACATGCTNAATTCAATTCAATTCTTTATTATTAATGTGCCGAGTCAACAGCCGCAAGGCCAATTACAGACACAGCACAGTGCAAATGAATGAATTACATTATAGTCAAACTTATTAAAAGTCACATACAAATTACAAGTAAGTACTGAGAAGAAATAATAATGAATAATAATAAAAGTATAAGTAAACAAACAAATAGCTGATATGGAATGAAACATAAATATTGTGACATGTTGATCCCTACCGCCCCAGCTCCACGTAGCGGTAACTTAGCGCTCGCGTAATAGGCGAGTAATCACCCCGCAATGCGCAACGCGCGGTGACGTCACGAGCGGAGCCGAAGATAGCCGAGCCCCCGTAACCTGGTAACTATGCAATGCTAATCAACAGCGGTGACGTCACACTAGCAACGGCGTCCTAGGCTATACGCCACGTCACACTAGCAACAGCGCAAGGCTACATAAGTGGACTCCACAGCAGCTACGAGTTCAGTTGAAACAGAGCTACAGCCGCGTGTGCGATAACCAGTGATAACCAGTCATATCTGGAGTGTGTATTTCAGGGAGACTTGTATAGCTCCCGCGTTAGTAGTACGTGAAGACAAGTGAAGACAGTGTTAAGAGATTTGTTGTAGGGTTTGTAAAGTGTGGAAACCCGTGATATTGTGATAATTAATTGTAGCCGTTATTTGTAGATTGTTAAATAAACCCAATTAACCATCTCTACGGCGTCTTCGGTAACGTAAACACGTTACAATATTTAATAAAAATACTAACAGTTATATTATATATAAAATTTGTTTGGGTAGAACATTCCTGGCTCCGAATACGTCAACATCCCTGCAGACAACATTAGCAGCTGATGCGCATCTAGCAGAGGGACAATTTTTAAATAAGGAGCAAACATTGAACAATGCAAAATCTCTGATATACCGAGCAGGAACTCGGAGACCAACAATTTGCATGGCAGATGGGCAGAATTTAGAGCCAAAATAAACTTGAATAAGAAAGAGAGCATTTGTCACCATACTTAAGAAATAGGGATACTTTATCCCACATTCAGGAAATCAAAGAACAGTATCTGTAGAATTCTACAAGACACATCCCTTACAATTGGTATCATGTATAAATGAAATCTTTAACATGTGTAAGTGAATAACAAAATGACAGTTTTGATGATCAGCACAAAATTCAAACATGTACAGAAAAATATGCATTCATTTGATCCCCAATACTGAGATATTCACACATCTGTCCCCACAACATACCCTAAATCCTTTTATTGTGGTGATCTTCCTGTCAGCATTGTCCAACCTTTCTGCGGCCTCTGAATCATCAACAAAAAAAGAGGAATCTATTCCACGAACTTCATACTGCAAAAGAGAAGTGCCCATAACAAATCAGATCCTACATCACTATCCTGAGATTTCTCAGTTTTCCTCTGTCCCTCCAGCAAATTTCCAGGAAAGTATCTCAATTCCAAGACAACTGCTTCATCCCAAATAATTTCCAATGCATTATTCATCAATCATCATACTATTCAACATTACATAACCCAAATACTGTCATCACAAAAATCACACACAAGTAATCCATCTGAAGTCATTACTACCTCTGCAACCTAAAATTCCAAGAATGTAAGCAATGTTTGGTATTTAATCAGTTACAACGCTAGAAACCTATTTTGAAAAATGTAGAAACCCACAATAATGTCACTCACCCCATAACAGAAAACCTATCTTGGATTAAAATTATAACAAGTGAAAATGGTAACAGAAGTCATACAAGTTATAATTGTACAATACTGCAAAAAACTTTACCTACATTAGATACTGTACATAATTCAGTATCTGTTACTGACACCCAAAATGAGAATTTCATATTTTATAAATATTTTTTATTGTTTTTATATAGTCAGTTGAGACCAGACCCGGGATTGAACCCGGGCCGCCACAGTGGGAAGCCAGTGACTAACCACTCGAGCTATGGCATGGCCTTGTTGCAGAATGGTGGCTTGATTCTCAGCAGAGCATGATTCAGAATTTACCTCATATGTTGTTAATTATTTTAGGAATGAATTTCAACTGACTGATTTACATATCTGCACTCATTTCTGTAGAAACAGTTCCCTGAACTGCTTATATAACTGTATACAGTGAGCCTTATGAGATGAACAGTTTCTTGATGAAATTTTGCATAAATCTTTATTTTGTATAACAAAAGCCACTCCCCAAGAGGTTCATTAAGTAGGGATTTCACTACAATCTGTTAATAAGGTAAAATATAAAGTCATCCCTGGAGTTAATTAATTAAGCACCATGCAATGAATATGTACGGGGGAGCTGTAGTTCCACCATTCTTAGCTTCAGTACCAGATGCAGATGAATGGTCAGCTTCAAGCTCCTGCCGATTTACTCTAAGGAAACAGCTCCTCATATTCTTTGTATGGGAGGCTGTTTGGGCCCCAGAGCTAGTCTGGATGCTATACAGAAGAGAAGAATCTCTTGCCCCTACTAAGAATGGAACCCAGTCCATAGCCTATTCACCATAATGACTGTGCTATCCCAGTTCCCGTGTAAACTGACAATCCTGATAAAAACTTATTAGCAGTAACATATTGAGCAAATGACAGAGAACTTACTTTGAGCGGAATGAACGCTGTTGGTGCAATATGTGCCAGTAATGTCTTCAGTATGTACTCTTTAGTATATCTGCCACCATAAGGAATCTGAAAGCAAGCATATCCAATATATTAATCAAAATGTGCTAGAAAAACTAACAGAGTTTAATATCTCCATTATACGAGGGGCGTTCAAGTTCTAAGGTCTCCAATTTTTTTTTCTCAGGACTGGGAGCAGATAGACACATGCAGTTTAGTTTAAAATACGTGTGCACTCTTTCTGAATGCGTGACAGAGATGGCAGCACTGTACGGCACGCAGAACTCTAGTGGTGGCGGTGAGAGTGAGGAGTGTTTTTGATACCTAAAATGGCGACGTTTTCGTTGCAAGAACAGCGAGTAATCATTCGTTTTCTCCACTTGCGTGGTGCTACACCCATTGAAATTCATTGCCAGTTGAGTGAGACATGTGGTGATGGTGTCATGAATGTGAAAAATGTGCGTTTGTGTGTGCAACAGTTCGAAGAAAGCCGAACGTTGTGTGACAACAAACCAAAACAATCTTGGCCTCACACCAGCCGGTCTGACAACATGGCCGAGCAAGTTGAGAATGTTGTTTGGAGGATCGCCTCCAAAGTTGGCATTTCCATGGGATCTGTGCACACAATGTTGCATGAAGACCTGTGAATGCAGAAAGTGTCCTCCAGGTGGGTGCCACGAATGCTGGCGGATGACCACAAGGCTGCGCGCATGGCAATTTGCCAGGCGATGTTGACCCGTGATGAACGCATGAATGGGACTTTCTTTTCATAAATTGTGACAATGGATGAGACATGGATGCCGTTTTTCAATACTGAAACAAAGCGCCAGTCAGTTCAATGGAAGCACACAGACTCACCACCACCAAAAATAATACCGGGTAAGTGCCAGTGTGGAAAAAATGATGGTGGCCATGTTTTGGGACAGCGACGGCATAATCCTTACTCACTGCGTTCCAAAGGGCACTACGGTGACAGGTGCATCCTACTAAGATGTTTTGAAGAACAAGCTCCTTCCAGCACTGCGAGAAAAACGGCCGTAAAAGGCTGCACGTGTGCTCTTTCACCAGGACAATGCACCAGCGCATCGCACATATGCGACGCGGCAGTTTCTTCGTGAAAACAACCTTGAAGTGGTTTCTCATGCTCTCTACTCACCTGACCTGGCTCCTAGCAATTTTTGGCTTTTCCCAAGATGAAAGACACTCTCCGTGATTGCACGTTCACCGGTCGTACTGCTATTGCATCAGCGATTTTCCAGTGGTCAAAACAGACTCCTACAGAAGCGTTTGCAGTGGCCACGGAATCATGGCGTTGATGTTGTGAAAAATGTGTACAGCTGCAGGGAGATCACGTTGAAAAGTGACAGAAGTTTCAAATTTTTTGTATGATTATTGTGTGAGAAAAAAAATCGGAGACCTTAGAACTTCAACGCACAACGTAAATAGTATGTTTACAACATCATAACTGCATATTACAAATACAACAATGTATGACTTACCGTTACTTTATACCAGGAAGTTGAGCTCTCTGAAAATTTTTTTGAGCTGAAATGGGTGGACAAGGGTATACTGCGACGACCTGATCTCCTCCTGCTGGCTGAACCCCTGCCACCTGCAGTCATACCACCACCAAAGCCTGCTCCTTCCTTATTCCGACCCCTTCTGACATATGGGTTGCTGAAAAATTTATGATGGTGCAATTTCTATTAGTTTTTAAAATCAGGGATGATATATCTAAAAGTCTTATTCTGTTACAGTTTAAGGTGGAAATGTGGACTTCATTAATACCTTATGCACCTTCCTTGGCAACGCTGATTTCTGTCATGATGAAGAATTATCCCACATTAGCATTCCTTACATGACCAGTCCTAAATGGATTATCAAATTATTTTCATGCCAAAATGTTCATCAATTGTGCATGAAAGAAAATTCAATTCATGAATACTAATGATATTCTTTAACTTAAGGGATAGCATTTAGACTTCAAGTTTACTAGCCAATAGCCTGAATTCTTAGAAGCCTTTAAATGTTTGAAACACAGCATTTAAAGAATCATGACATTATAACCTCCAAGACCATACCCTTTGTTCGAATCACAGTTACTGTAATGGGAATGAGGTTTTCAGACATAGGAGAATACTCTAGAGCTGCGATTTTCTACAAAAATCAACAGTTCATAAAACCATGATTTCACTGCCACCAAAAGACACTAAGGGGTTCTAAGACACAGCTAAAAACTGATTATCACCATAAAACTACATACTCAGAACAAAACAAAAGAAAAAACGTCGTGGCCTGTAGTCCACAAGCAAACTATACCAACCGAGCGACCACCACTTGTCAGCTAAGTTAGTGCCAACTTTTGCAGAGAGAGGGTGTCACATGGTCAGCGCAACGAATTCCCAGTTTTTAATCTCGGTTTTCTAGACTAGAACCGCTATTTCCTTGAAATAGCTCATCAGTTATCCTCAACAGGCTGAGTGGACCCCGTTCCAGACCCACTACTTCTCAGAAAATCTGGTAGCGCCGGGAATCGAACCCGGGACCTCTGGATCTGTAGCCACGAACTCTGTCCACTGGATCATAGAGGCGGTTCAGAACATTGAACAAAAATTAAAAATAATAGAAATAAATCTTTAACGTCTCCTTAGAAAACAATTATGTCTCTCACATGGCAAAAAAAGACCGTACTTACAACCGCGTACTTCCGCTTGAGCTTTGCACACCCATAACAACATCAGCATCAAGTATGGACACATCTCGCATCCTTGTATGTGAATAATTTTTTGAGTAGTGATGAGAAGTTATTCCCCGAAGAGCATCACGGACACGGTCATCATGCTCTGTAAAGGAGGAGACCATTTACTATGCATATAGATATTACATTGGCCTTGGACACTCCATATGCCAAATGTATATAATGTCTTATCAAACATTAAATTTCAACATACAATGATGAAGAAAACCTCAAATGGGTTTTAATCACCCTACGATTTTTGTAATCATTGTGAAATAGAATATAACTTTCTCCAAAAGAACTCTACTTTCAAAATAGTAACAAAACTTCAATCTCAAATATTACAGCCCTTTGTAAGGATGCCATATTCATCTGAGGTAAAAGAAAAGCAATAACAGCCATTAAAATACCTTAAAACTTTCCTAGGTTACACATGAATAAGTGTCTTCTAATTTTCCATACAATAAATACATATATACATACATAAAAACAAGGATTTAAAATCATTTATAAATTTGTAGGAGATATTACAACCAATAATTTGTTAAAATTCAGTTATGCAGGTTGTCACTGCATTATGTGATTATGGTGGTGGTATATTCTTTTTGCTGTCTCACGCGTTTTTTGTTTTTGAGTGTCACTAAGAAGCTCTGCAGGCTAGCTGCAGTTCCTGGTAGTCGAAGCACTTGATGGTTTAGGTACTGGAGATGGGTAGCCTTGTGCATTTTGAGCTCTGTAGACAACAGACAGCAGCACACTGTTTACTGGTGGACACAGAGAGTACTGTCGGCGAGATGTATCAGTATTCCCAAGTTTATACTGCACGTGTTCAAGCACTGAAGGATTTTTGTAGCTTTGCTAATGTGGAACATCACACCACAACATGACGGCTTTCTCTTATGCCTGCAGTTACAGGGACCGTCGTTGTGTACCAAACTCTTACTTCACATTTCTATCAATTGAGAAGTTCCCTACCATTCTGAAGAACTTCTCTAAAGTAAAAAACCCTTTCCATATTAATTTTTCTATAAAATCAACTGAGATGTTTAATGCTCACATACAGGAACTTGAAAAAAAGGGACTGTTTCAGCAACAGAAGGGAAATACATAACTGATGCCTTGTTGGTGACAGTTGACAACAAGTCTCCAAGCAACAAATCTTCTCATCGAGATGGAAGATGCAGGTGAAGTAACATCACATCAGTTTTGACTTCCATGCCGGCAACTTTTATGGCACAACTAAATACATTACAGAATGGATCCTTACACTTCATGATATGAAGTTAATGTCATGGATAACATTACACAAAAATCATACCTGGGAAGATGTTAGTAAGTCACTATCATTTATGAAGAAGAAAATAATCCTTACTGAGCCACCTGATGAAACTGGATTCGATGAATACTGTTGAGTTTCAAAATACATGAACAAGAATTTCGGCATTTTAAAGAAGAAAATACTAGCACCGTCACAGAAATGCAGCTGCGGAAACTGTTTTCACTCGTAAATGTCTTCTGGATAGATGAAATAAATTGGTTACAAGTGTCCACTACGAAATAAACAATTTATGCTACATATACAACTTTACCAAACTTCTGTTAGGGCAATTTTTTTCTTTCAGAATTCTCTACATCATTCTAACTCCCTACACGCACCAATCACCACAAACATGAGTAGGGATGCATCGTTTATGGTTATGAAACAGATGCTTTAGTGTAGCCCCAGATTACAGGCAAAATGAAAATATAACAAGCAAATTCTTAAAACATTATGTGTATAGGCTCAGTTCAGTTCAGTTCAGTTTATTGTAATATTCCATCAATCAAGAACAGGCTACAAATGCCACCAGTCTGATATAGAACCAGTCACAGATATACAAGACACCAAACACTCAAAGAACATACAATATATAATGAAGGGACATATGCTATTGGAATGAGGATATTTAACCATCTTCCTATAAATATAAAATCATTATCATATAAAATTGAATTGTTGAAACCAGCATTAAAGAGATATCTTTGCTCGTGGTCATTTTATTGATTAGAGGAGTATTTTAATCAAAATAATTTGTAAATACTGATTGGATGTAAATGGGATTAACTGTATGTTATATTTTTTAATTATGTTTATCACTTAGTATTATGTGATGTTGTTTTATGATTAATGTTTAATGATTGTGACGAATGAACTTGGAGTAGTAAGAAGTAAAAGGTTGTATTTCTAACAGTGTATGAATCTATGTTGTTGTGATATGGCTTGATTTAATGTTACACCATGTATCTTTTTATGTTTTGTATGAGATTGTATAAGTTTGACTAGCTCTATATCCTATGGGTGCTAAAGCCCCTGTACAGGATTTGTGGAGTTATTTAATAACAATAAATAATAAACAATAAACAACACCTGTTTTGAATATTAAAGCGTCAGTCATACAATTAGAAATCAAAACAACTCAACATATTACATTGTGAACTGGAAAATAAATCAGTCACTAAATACTAATGTATACGATTAGCATAAAAGTATATTAAGTAAGAGCCCTACAAAACATTTTACATTCTGTAACATTGATTACCGGTCCTTTCTAATCAGTTTAATAAAAACCTAAAATTTAAAATAAAAGTAAGAAGAGGCAAAATGGAATTACTCACAATGACTGTGATAAGTATATAATATCACAAATACCAAAGGGAATAGAATAACCCATTTTATTTACTGTTAAGAAACTCCTGCAATGAGTAAAAGGAATTTTCTAGTAAGTACCTTTTTAATGAAGATTTAAACAGTTTCTTCTTGTCTATGATGCCTTTCAAATGGGATGGAAGCTGATTAAAAGTCTTAATGCCCATGTAATAAACATCTTTTTGATAGACATTCTTGGTTGTGGGAAATGAAAATTATTTTTGCTTCTGGTATTTATACTATGCAAATCTGTGTTAGTTTTAAATAACTCTCTATTATCTGATACAAAAGTTAATAATGAAAATATGAATTGGGAATATAATGGTAATATGTCCATATACTTAAACAGTTCTCTACACAAGTCTTTTTTTCTGGAATTAGTGATAATTCTTATTAACCTTTTTTGCAGTCTAAATATACTGTCACTATAAGAAGAGGTGCCCCAGAAAATTAACCCATACGTCATAATGCTGTGAAAGTAAGCAAAGTAAATCATCCTCAAGGATTCAAGTGATACAAAGGGTCTAAGTGTCATAATTGTATAGGAGGCTTTACATAATTTTACCTTGAGACCATGAATATGGTTTTCCCAGGACAGGGAATCATCAATAGTAATACCTAAGAATTTCATTAGTGTATTAGCACTGCCTACAATTCCATAAAATTCCAATTTCTTCAATAGTATGTCGTGGTTGATACAATCGAAAGCCTTTTCTAAATCACAAAAAATACCCCCGAAAAATGACTTATTATTTAATGCCTGCAGAATGTCATTTACTAAGATGAATGTTGGTTTTTGTGTAGAGGACTTGATTACAAACCCAAACTGTTCTGTAGATAATATATTATTGTTAATTGCATGTTCTAAGATTCTTGCATGAATAACTTCCTCAAATATTTTAGAAAAGGTTGCTAATGGTGAAACAGGTCTATAATTCTTAATATCTTTTTTTGACGCCCTTTTTGAATAGCGGTATTATTATAGAATATTTCATTCGCGAAGGAAAATTACCTGATAAAATTGTTCTATTGCAGATATGATTGAGTGGGGCAGCAATAAAAGGAGAACTTATTTTTAAAATTTTGGGAGAAATTTCATCATACCCAGATGAGTTTTTAGGTTTTAGGGCTTTAATGATTTTAGCAATCTCCTTAGTCGATGTACGGTCAAAAATTAAATTTGGAAAGGGATTCTTAAAGACTCTAAATAGGTAATCCATACATTCATTATCACAGTGGTCTTTACTATTGATGATGGATTTTATTTTATCAGCTACAGAGAGAAAGTAGTTCTGAAAGGCATCGGCTATGTTTTGTGCTTCTTTGGTGTTATTGCATTACCAATGTCTACAGATTGAATTACCTACACTCTCCTGAGGTAAGAGGAAAACCCATTGTAAATACAAATACGTCTGGTGCGTACGTGGCTCAATAATGGCTGCATTTCGTGTATACAGCTTAACTTACCACTGTACTTTCCTTCCCATCCTTCAGAGTCCCATATCCTGTTCACTTTACCACGCTTTAGCATGACTGTAATTTAAAATGAAAATGTCTTCACACACTTTATTCACCAGACTATTTTGTCTGCTTTCGTACACTTCCAACTCCAACACAAATAGTCGGTCGTGAGGTCACGAAAGCATTACCATTACCATCTTTATTTACCTCTGATAACTATATACAAACTGGTTGCCAGCTCCGAGAGTTTGATCGACAAGAAGGTAAGCTGTCATAGTACCTACTTCTGCCTACTGGTTCGCCTCACTCCCCTCGCCAAGGAACCCAAAGTTCACAAGAATAACAATAAATAATTTTGCATCCTGATATCATCTGTGATTTGGTTGGTAAAGTTGAGAAGATAGCAAGAAAACCATAGGTTACACAGGAGATGGAAGAATATCAACAATTAATAAGGCAAGAGGAAATACAGGAGACTGAGGAATGAATTGAAAAGAGCCACGGACAGGGCCAAAAAGGAATATCTTGAGAAGATATGTAATGAGATTATAGAATTTCAAAGAACAGGACGTTATGATTTGATGTACATGAAGACAAAAACTAGGCTGGAAAGAGAATCATGGGATTCAAAATATTGGCATCGAAGACTCCCAGGGGAATAGAATATTAGATCAGAGGCAAGTGCTGAAAATTTGGGAAAATTATATTACAGAACTCTATGATCGACCTAATCGGCCAGAAACCTTAGAAGTTGAACCGGAAGAAGAAGTAGATACAGACGAGAAAGGACCATATATTTTACAAAGTGAGGTGGAAAAAGCTATCAAGGAAATGAGGAAGGGAAAGGCTACAGGAGATGATGATGTACCTGGAGATGTGCTCAAGTTACTGGGAGAAGGTGGTTTGAAAACACTGACAAAACTAATGAACACCATATATGAAAGTGGAGAGTGGCCCAAGGACTTTACAGAAGTTACAATGATTGCCTTAAAGAAAAAGACAAAAGCTACAAAATGCAGCGACCATCGCACAATAAGCCTTATTGCACATACAGCAAAGATAATAGCAAAGATACTTAAAAGAAGAATTGAAAGGAAAATAGAGGATGTACTTGGAGAAGATCAGTTTGGATTTAGAAGAGGAAAAGGAACCAGGGATGCAATTGGGATGATGAGAATTATAGCGGAACGAACTTTGGAGATAGATGAAGAACTGTGTGTTTGCTTCATAGACTGGCAGAAGGCATTTGACCGGGTAAACTGGACCAAATTAATGCAGATCCTGAAAGAAACAGGTATCGATTGGCATGAAAGAAGATTGATTAGCAAATTGTACATGGATCAGAAAGTTAGAGTACGACTGGACAGGGGGGAGACAGGAAGTGTGCAGATTGGAAGAGGAGTTCGACAAGGATGCTGTTTATCACCAATTCTGTTCAACTTGTACAGCGAATGCCTTACCAAGGAAGCTCTGGATGGGCTCGGTGACTTCAAAGTAGGAGGGCAAATTATTCAAACTGTGAAATATGCAGATGACCTTGTGTTAATGGCTAAGGAAGAAACTGTGCTACAGGGCATGATTGATAGACTAATTGAAATTGGAAGGTGCTATGGCATGGAAATGAATGTGGAGAAAACAAAAGTAATGAAAATTTCGAGACAACCAACCCCAGTCACAATAAAGATAGACCAAAAACAAGTGGAGAATGTGAAATGTTTTAAATATTTGGGTAGCTTGTTAACAGATGATGGAAGGTGTACTTGTGAAATTAAATCCAGGATTGCCATGGCAAAAGCTGCATTTAGCAAGAAGAAGAATCTTTTTACCAGCAAATTGGACTTAAATTTGAGGAAGAAACTAGTGAAATGCTACATTTGGAGCATAGCTCTGTATGGGGCTGAAACATGGACACTTAGGGCAGTAGATCAGAAACATCTGGAAAGTTTCGAAATGTGGTGTTGGAGAAGAATGGAGAAGATCAGTTGGACCGATTATGTGAGAAATGAAGAAGTGTTAATTAGAGTCAGTGAGCAGAGGAATATCCTACATGAAATAAGAAAACGGAAGGCTAATTGGATTGGTCATGTTTTACGCAGAAACTGCCTTCTAAAAGAAGCTATCGAAGGAAAGATAGATGGGCGGATAGAAGTGACAAGAAGACGAGGAAGAAGACGTAAGAAGATGCTGGATGACCTTGGGGACAGAAGAGGATACTGTCATTTGAAGGAGAAAGCTCTAGATCGCATTAAGTGGAGGAATTGTTTTGAAAGAGACTGTGGACCTGTCGTCTTGACAGATTACTGATGATGATGATGATGATGATGATATCATCTACTGCAGAGGCTCTTATGCCGTTGTTATTTTTTTTGGAACTGAGTTTAATATCACTACTCATATCCACTGGAAGGGATATGAGTGAAGTGACATTAAAATCTGTTCCAAGGAAAAGAACTCAACAGAGTAAGAACCTCTGCAGTACAAGAGATTAGGTTGCAAAATTATTTATCAGGAGAAAATTTCTCACCAGTGCCTGTAAAGTATGAACATTTCATTTACATCAATCCTTAATGATATGCACTTGACCTTGTGAACTATAACATACATAGAATACTTGTGTTTAAGAAAGCCAAAGGGGATGAAACTTGAAAGAAAGTCTGTTTCAGAGATACTTCATTGTGACGATCGTGACTTCAGATCAAGTTGTCGTTCGACACCATATTGGGTCCGAGCGGTCCAAGGTTCTCTGTGACGCCATGTAGTCTGGTACAAGTATATCGCTGGATTGTTGGTAAACTTCTACCAGACTACACGGAGTCACACCGCAGGCGGTAGTACTTATTACCTGTCCAGTTTACTTCACTGCACATAAAGATGTGGAACAGAACAAATAATAAAAACCTTTCTTATTATTATCAGGCCGCGCCATAGCTAAGCGGTTAGTCATTGGCTTCCCATCACGGTGGCCTGGGTTCGATCTGGGGTCTGGTCAAGTGGTATTTGTGGTGGACAAAGTAGCGCTGGGGCAGGTTTTCTCTGAGTACTTCAGTTTCCCCTGCCAATCTTCATTCCACCAATTGCTCCACAATCACCCTCACCTATCATCTGGGGCTGGTACAATAGGCCAGAAGTGGCCACAGTACAAAGGACTTAGTCCCACCCCACTAGCTATAAAAATAATTCTTATTATTATTTTCTGATTGACTTCAGCTCAGACTCTTTGCAAGATATGTCCATGCACTTTTGTACATTATCTTTGTGACACTGGGAATAATAAGATAATTTTATTATTTATTTGTAATTTATTCAACAGCATTTCCTGAACTCGCACCATATAACACTGAATGAACAAATGCCAGTGAACAATGAACTGGGAAAAATGGAAAGGAAGTGGTACTATCCTGTCATTTGTTTTCAACAGACTGAAAAAAATCACAAAAATGTTGGTCAAGATAATCATATCCTGGATCAGATTTCAACCAAACACATCCCAAATTAAGGCAGAAGCATTCCTGCTTGGGTACAATTGCACTGTGATAAATAAGTTAAACACTAAAGTAAAAAATTACATTTCTTCATAATTTATTTTCTCTAATAAATTTAACATTTATCTTACCTGGTTACTCAAAACAATTCATTATTGAAAATAAACAGCAAATGCTCCTTTGAATTGAAATAAAGGAACACTGCATATATCAGTGTAACAAGCTGGAATGTGAATATGTTCTATGTTAACTTTTCTGAACAGCGGTACCTTAATAACATTCATAAAACTTTATTTCCTGATTTCCCACAGCACTGTCACTGAACCATATCCTGAGAAAGATGGATCCAGCCCTCAATGTTGCATGCAGTGCTGTACATGACTGAAAGTAAATTAATTTTATNACAATTCAAAATAATATAATTGAATTTATAAATTTATTGTTAAAAATATTATTTAGTTGCAATTATATCAATAAAATTACACATTTTGCGGTGAACATCTGAAAATAGACACTGTTTGTGGTGATCATGAAACTGGGGAAATTCTCAAACCAATGCAGCAGAGGGTGTGCAACATGAAACTAATATCTGCAACAAAGAAAGCCTCATATAGTCTCTATCCATAGTTCTACAGCTTCTTGATGATGCTCAGCTGCAGCCTGCCCTTGTTTGCAACCCGAATAATTCTGTTTCTTTCTATTAGTCACAACATGTTCACATATTCCTATTTAATTAATGAAACTGATGGTGTAACAGAATAAATTATTTTAAAAAATTTGTAAAATTAAATGGCTATGCAGATTTGAATGAAATTCATATAAGCTGTGTAGAACACATCCAAGTACATTTTCAGTTCAGCAAATATATATTTTCCACTTCAATGTTAAAAACGAACATTTTTTATACTACTCACTTGTTGAGCATTTCATTTGATATTACAGCTGAATTTCTGAAATCTACAGAATGGCCATTACATTTTCCATATTTAACTTAACAGGTGAAAAATACTATATTGTAGCATCATATTGTGCATGTGAAATTTCATTTTATTCCATCACCACAACAGGTAATGTGAATTGTAACCGTACATCCCTCACTGAAAATCATTTAATTGTGGTTATGACCAATTTATGTATTCTTTTCACATCCTGAAAGATACTCCTCTGGCGAGATACCATCCCAGGACTGTCTAGTTGTAATTCAACATTGTCCTCCTTAGGCTTAGTGTGTCACTATTGTCATTAACATCACCAGTTTGCTCCTAGGGTTATAAATCCATGGGTTGACATTGTGTGAGACTGGCCAGTAGGAGTCTTGAGTTCCCTGCTCATGTGTCTTGGATACCTGAAAAGTTTTAAGATAGACAGCTGTCTCTTGTTTTTTTTTTTTTCTTGCTTTTATTTTATGGCCACTAGGAAACTTGCGAAAAGAGGCGGTCGGTTATAGGGAGCGGAGGTGGACAGTTGAAATGTAGACGCAGAACAGAGAAGGGGGTGACAGTAGGAGGTAGCGAGTAGTGTGTATGGCCAGCGAGCTGGGAGCGAATTGGTGTAAATAAAAGTAATGATGATGGTGGAAGTGATGACTGAAAGGCTAGCTTGAAGGAGGATTAATGTAAAGATTGACAATCATTGTAAGCAATTCCAATTTAAGACAGTAATACACAGTGTTGGTTCTGGAGACTCCATAATTCATAAACACTGAAGTGTATTCGCCTCCTAGTATCTGAAACGTCCTGTATCCCTGGGACAAAGAACTCATCTCGAGTGATAGTTGTGGCATCTGTACGTCGGCGGTCAGCTGCAGAACCTTCAATACATTCATTGAATGCATGGAATAAAACAAAGAAATTAAAAAGAGAGAACCATTTTGGCATCTAGAGTTACTGCAACAAAGTAATGAAAATTTGTAGCCTCTCATATCATATGGTAATGTATAGACTTGTTGTTGGGAGGTGACTCTGTAAACATCAGCCATTGCTAGGTAAAGTCTGTATGAAATAATGGAGATGTCATGATACCGTTGCTATGGAGCTCCTGCAGCTCATGCATGCATGGTGACCTCACACAACAATACTAGAGGTGACGCAGGTGGCGTTTTCTGTAGGCCCACTCTGAGGCTATGTTACTCAACCAAACCATGTTCAGTTGAGTGAGTGCAGTGCAGTTGAGGGTTCATCCGTGGAGTGTTAACCAGTGAGCAATGAAAGCTCCATGTCTAAGATTCATTGCCAGGAAACATCTAGGGAATATACTGCAGAGGAATAGCCATTGTGGAGAGCTGTTACCAAGTAAAGGCCAGTGGAAATAGACTGAGAAGACTCAGTGTTGAACAATTTGTGGTGTGGAAATCAGCAATAGGGTAATAAATTTTTGTAGTTATGAACTGTAAGTGGTCAGTAAATCTATTCACCAATCCAGTCCCCATCTATAGTCACTAATACATGTGACAATATAATAACATCCAATCTGCCATTGACCAATGGGAGGGGGGGGCAGATTCAAGTCATAATTGAAGAAAATTGGGTTCCTATTCAACAATGATTCCATGTACCTTGGAATAACATTAGACAAAAAATAGCTGGACAAGGCTATTAACAAGACATATAAGGCCTTCTAGACATGGAGAGGCACATTTGGAAAGACCTGGGGACTGAAACCAAAGGTGGTATATTGGATATACACTGTGGTAGTGAGACCCATAATTACCTATGCTGCCACTATATGGTGGTCTAGAGTTAAACTCAAAACAAGTCAGGCAGAACTAAGCAAATTGCAAAGGACGGCCTGCTTGGGAATTACGGGAACAATGAGAACAGCTCCAACAGCTGCAATGGAAATCTTACTAGGACTCCCCCCACTGCATCTGCAGATGAAAGCAGAGGCAAAGTTAGGAAATTACAGATTACATTGCAATGATCAATAGAGACCTACATGCATACATGATTCAGGACATGAAAAAAGAACCCATCCTACAGATAGGGGTCTGATAAAATGATACCAAAACATGTCTATGATAAACCCTTCATGATCAGATTTCCTGATAGAAGTGAGTGGAAGGAGGGGTTTCAACCCAATAGAAGGAGGGACTAATCTGATATACAGATGGTTCCAAGACAAATAAAGGCATTGTAGCTGGGGTGTATTGTGATGGAACAGGGCAGAAACATAGTTTTGGACTTATTCAGTACACAGTATTCCAGGCAGAAGTGTATGACATTAAGGCATGCGCAGTTGAGAATTTAGATAGAAACTATAAAAATTGTAACATGTGTATCCTGTCAGATAGTCAAGCTGCAATTAAAGCACTTGGTACACATCAAATCACTTGAAAAATTTGTCTGGGACTGACACCAATCCCTCATACAACTGACCAGACATAACAGAGTTCAACTGATATGGGTGCTAGGTGATGAGGGTAGTGTTGATAATGAAACGGCAGATCAGTTGGCAAGCACAGGATCTGAACATGCGTTCACAGGACCTGAACCAGCTTGCGGCATCTCATTTGGAGTTGCCAAGAAAGCGATTAGGGACTGGACTAACAAAAATCACAAAAATCACAAAAAATCACTGGGAATCCACAATTGAACTCAAACAGACAAAAGGGATTTATATCAGGACCCTCTGCCAGAAGAATGAAGGACCTGTTGAAATTAAACAGAGATCAATTAAGCTGGGTGGTAGGATTAATTACCAGACACTGCCACCTAAAAAGACACCTTTTCAAACTGAGACTGACAGATGACCCAACCTGTGAAAGGTGCCTACAAGAAGACAAATCAGCCACATATATCCTATGTGACTGTGAGCCCATAGCTTACTCTAAAAATTTCATCACTTGGGTCAATTCTTCATGGAACCAAATGACTTCTATGACACCCCCTTAAATAAAGTCCTACATTTCATTTGAAGTGTAGGATTAATAAAGGGTTAATCCAAAGGGGAAGCACAATAGATCATTGAAGGAGGCAGTGCAATGGCCGGATTTTATAGCCCACCCCTCACATACTCAACAATGATTCCAATAAAAAATGTAACTTAATTAGAAAAAAAATGCATATTTTTAACATTCAAAATGGAAAATATTTTTCTGTGTAATCAATGTACAAAACTGAATAACTTCTTTTAACATGTTCTCATGAATGGTCTGCACAACTTCAATGAGTTTCATTTTTCATATCTTAAAGACTGAACCCTTCTGTCATTATTTTTGTAACAAATGGGCTGTATTTCTTTTTCACCACAATAACCTGCAGTTACTACACTAAATCTGTATCAGACATTACAAAATATTTCAAATTTTAACTAATATAAATCTTGTAAAGGTTTTAAAAATTAATCACATCATAATTTTCCAATGACATGAACATAAAATGCCACTCTGTGCAAGAAAATCGTGGCTTTCTTTCAACTTACTGCCCTGCATGACAAGTTTCCATAATTAATATTTAATACACAGTTAAAAACATCAAACTGTCAGCATGACAGTACTAAAAATATGAAGAATTGTTTGAAATAAATATATTATTACTATAAAGTAAGGAAAACTGAATTCCCAGGTCATTATTCCTGTTGAGGCACTTACGGAGAACTATCGACTTTCTATATGAAATATAGAGTAATGAGAAATACACGAAAGAAGAAGAGTAAAAAAAATACATAGTCGGAAGAAACCGAAGTCATAATTTAGGTTAGAGTGTTGAGTAGCTGGAATGTCCTAAATGTTGAACATCCATCAGACACTTTTGTTGATGAGACTGGCAAGCTCTCTGTACAGGAAGCACCGCCTGTAACATGAAAAAGAATACCAGTGATTTCCACATACAATTTCCTCTCAGGGCCACTTCTGAGAGAAACAATGGGTTGTCATATTTACTGAACTAAATGTTTGTAGTTGCATGATAAGTTGGTACAGTGGCGCCATGACAATGAAGGTGCCAGTACCAAAACAGTAAAACTTTTCGTAGTTATGAAGTATATATCTGACAATATTATATTTCAGCATCCTGTTACACTCACACAATATATATGGACAAATACCGTCTTAAGTGCAACAATTTTATTGTAGTTTCTACTTCTTTTTCCTCCTCCACACTACATGTTTCGGCCCTAAATGGCCATCATCAGGTGTGTATCACTCACGTAACTGTTACACTGCTTGTTAAAAATGTAAAAATCCCAGTCTTTCTAATTGTATAAAATCTTTGTTAATCTACACGCGTCGATTTGATTTTTAAATTAGCACTTTTTAAACCTTAATTCAAGTTAAAATGTCTATAAGATCTTTGTTCTCTTTCTTTTTCAAATTAAAATTTTTCAGGGTACATGCCCTATATCTACGGTGCTGCAGCGGCCACTTCTTGTTTTTATCGCTGTTCATGTGTTGTCTGTAATATACAAATATTTGTGTTACTATCTTATGTTATGTCTTGTTATGTTATTCTTATATGTTTATACTGTTATTTGTACTTACTCAGTGTAGGCGCTCTCTGTGTGTGTCGCTGCTTATCTTT